ATGTGGCACAGTGTGAAACCTGGTTGGGAAGAGGTTGATGCTAGAGGAGAGGGGAGGGAACTGTGAAACCCAAGGAACATTATCCTGTGGAAGATCAGGTGGGTGGGGCCCGAGAGGAAGCCAGTTGTACGCAGTAGGAGACCAGATGGAATAAAATGGGCCGAATGCAAGTGTGCTGAGGAGAGTGTGGGAAGAGGCAGGAAGTTGGGGGATTATCGTCCATGGCCTTGGCTTTCTACTTCACAGTGGTGCTCAGCTAAGGCAATGTCTACCCTCTGCTTGTCCCAGCCCAGGGATGAAAGTACAGTCACCTTCTGCATTAAAAATCTTAAGCGGGGCTGGGGCATAGCTCTGTAATACGGTGTGATGGCCCAGTCAGTCCTACGCTGAGCATTTTTCTAGTGTCTTGCATCTGTAAAAATGCTAGGATACTGTTTTCTGGGACCGTTTTCCCACCTCTGGATAACGAAGCCTGGATATCTTATCCGGTTCCGGGAGTCATGTCGGCACACACACACACACACACACACACACACACACACACCACCGTGGGTCAAAGGTAACCTTTAAGGAGCAGTGGAAGGGTGGGGCAGACAGCAGGGAAAGGGCAGACAGCTACTTTGGGCTAGTCCATCTTTGGGGACCTGCTAAGTACAGTAGAAATCACATCCCCCCACAGCCAGCCATGGCTCTGGCCAGAGTCCTGACCTGTGTCTGCCAAATTCGAGAGGGTCCTAGATGGGCACTTCAGCTGAAGGAGGACCTGTCTCCTATTTTGAGTTGAGTGGAATTTGCCACTCAAGGGTTGGGGATGTGGCTCAGTGGTAGAGCACTTGCATAGCGTGCACAAAGCCCTTCTCTCTCTCTCTCTCTCTCTCTCTCTCTCTCTCTCTCTCTCTCTCTCTCTCTCTCACACACACACACACACACACACACACACACACACACACACACACACGATTAGACTTACCTAGGTGTGGTGGCACACACCCATAATATACGTAATTCCAGCACTTTAGAGGCAGGAACATCAGGAGTTCAAGGTCATTTCCAGCTATATAGTTAGCCTGCATGAGTTACAGAGACAGACTGGGGGGGGCGGGGGGGGGGGGGTGGACACACAAACACACAAGATCTATCTGAGCGTTTCTGCTGTCGTTTTCAACTTTGTGGTCATGAGGAATAAATAGCATGCGACATGGGTTTGTTACTGCTCGGGTGAAGCTGTCCTATAGAATGAACAGCGTCTGATGTTTTTGTGAAACGGGGAACGTTTTCCCGACGCAGCTGAAAGAGGGGTGGCTTCACACCCCCAGACGCAGACACACAGAGGCTCTCCTGGGAGGCTCTCTGTTTTCTTTATTTTTACTAGATACCATTACCCCACTGCAGACCGATTAAATCAGAACCTGTCGGGAGCGTGTGGGCATCGGTAGCTGTGCACAGTTCCTCTGTGCTTTTGAGGTACAGCTTGAGAGCCCCAGGACAGACTAACCTTGTCATTATGACCAGTGCCTCTCAACTCTTTTGATGTTGTGACTTCAGAGGCAAAAGGTACCAGCCCAGGAGTCAGTGGCAGGCTCTTGCCGCTAAAGACACGTGACCTGGGGTTCCTGTCTGGCTTCCTGAGGGCTGAGGATCAATATTTTGGCAGATCCATACTTAGGCACCCTGCCTCACCTGTTGTTGAACTTGGAGTAATTATAAAGCCTGCTAAGTAGAGCTGTGTTGTACATTTATATTTTGCTGGAGTTTCATTGACGTGTCATAAACAGCATATATTTAAAGTGTACAACATGATAAGTTTGGCACATGAACACGCTGGTGAAATCACCACCACTGGCAGGTAATGAATGGGCTGCAGACATAGCTCAGTGGTAGAGTGCTTACCCAGCATGCATGGGCCATAGTTGTGATCTCTGCAGAAAGGGAGTGGTGGAGAGCAAAGGAAAAAAATGAGAGAGAGAGAGAGAGAGAGAGAGAGAGAGAGAGAGAGAGAGAGAGAGAGAGAGATAATGAGCACATTCATTGCTCCCAAAAGTTCCCTTATGGCTTATGGTAATCCTTCCCTTTCCTTCCCCAGATAAGCATCCATCTGTTTTTCCTCACAGTCGCTCAATTTGCATTTTCAGAAATTTCCTGAATTTTGATACAATGATACATACTCATACTCTTTTGTCTGGCAGGTTTTATTCAACAGGGTTCATTTGAGACTCAGCCACGATTTTACATTTGTCAATAATTCATTCATTTTCATTGCTAAGTAGCATTTAATTATACATATGTAGATGAATCACTTTTTGTTTTGAGACAGGGTCCTATGTAGCTCAGGCTGGCCTTGAACTCTTTTGTTTTTGTGGGTTTTTTGAGGCAGGGTTTTTCTGTGTATGCCTGGCTGTCCTGGAACTCACTCTGTAGACCAGGCTGGCCTCGAACTCAGGCTGCCTCTGCCTCTGGAGTGCTGGGACTAAAGGCATTCGCCGCCACCACCTGGCAGCCTTGAACTTTTTATGTAGTTAAGGTTGACCCTGAGCTTCTGATCTTCTGATCTTGCTTCCACCTCCTGAGCGCTGGGATCGCAGATGTGCCTCACACACCTGGTTTTACGTGTTTCTGGGGTCAAACCCAGGGCTCTGTCTGTGCTAGATAAGTACTCTATCTGAGCCTCAGTCCCTACCCAGACTTTTCACATTTTCAAAAGAGCCATTTCCCTGCTGATAGACATTTGGATCATTTCTAGTTTGGAGATAGTATAAGAAAAGTTTCGGGCTGGAGAGATGGCTCAGAGGTTAAGAGCACCGACTGCTCTTCCAGAGGTCCTGAGTTCAATTTCCAGCACCCACATGGTGGCTGACAACCATCTGTAATGAGATCTGGTGCCCTCTTCCATATACATAATAAGTAAATAAATCTTTAAAAAAAAAAAGAAAAGTTTCTACTATTTGAGGTTTATTATTATTTACTTGTAGTACTGGATTGTTTATTATTTATTTGTAGTGTCGGGTATCAAACTCAGAGCCTGTGCATGCTAGGCAAGCATTCTACTGTTGAGCTACAGCCCCAGCCCTGTGTTTAATGTCTGTATACAAGGCTGTGTAGCTGTGTATAGTTGAGTCGTAAGTAGACACATTTGCCTTTGTCAGAAGCTGCCTAGTTTCCAAGATGGTTATGCCATTTTATATTCCCGCCAGCTGTATATGAGTGTACGAGAGCTGGCCTCTTTTCTTTGCTAATTTTAACTTTTAGGCATATGTACTTTTATTTATTTTATTATTTATTTTGGTTTTTCAAGACAGTGTTTCTTCGTGTAGTTTTGGAGCCTGTCCTGGATCTCGCTCTGTAGATCAGGCTGGCCTTGAACTCACAGAGATCTGTCTGCCTCTGCCTCCCGAGCACTGGGATTAAAGGCATGCGCCACCACCGCCTGGCTATGTACTTTTATTGTTTTTTTTTTTAGATTTATTTATTTATTTATTTATTTATTTATTTATTTATTTAATGCCGAATGCTATTTATTGAAGGAGGGAAGAGGTCTTAAATACAGGCTTACAGCACAATGGGAGAACCCCAGAGGGCAGAAGTTCGCTACCGATGTTTTACAATCTTGCATCTAAGCTGCTAACGCCATTATGCAGGATACACAGACATACTTTTATTGTATGCTTATGACTGCTTTGCCTGCATGCGTATATGAGCACCACAGGTCTGTCTGCTGTGGTCAGAAGAAGGCATCAGATTGCCTGGAGCTGGAGTTACCAATGGTTGTGGACCACCAAATGAGGCCTGAGAAGGGGCTGGAGAGATGGCTCAGTGGTTAAGAGCACTGGCTGCTCTTCCAGAGGTCCTGAGTTCAATTTCCAGCAACCACATGGTGGCTCACAACTATCTATAGTGAGATCTGGCGCCCTCTTCTGCTGGGCAGGGATACATGCAGACAGAATACTGTATACATAATAAATAAATCTTAAAAAAAAATGAGTGCTGAGGACTGAACCCGGGTCCTCTGCAATAGCAGCCAGTACTCTTCCACTGAGTCATTTCTCCAGCCCTTTTTTGTCAACTTTTATTTTAAAAACATCTCCCATGTCCCCCAGGCTGGTTACAAGCTCCAGGTCTCTGCCTTTCCCTCCTGAATACTTAGATTATAGCATGTGCCACCATGCCTGGTTTAATTCTTTTTCATCCGTCACTGGGGATCAAACCTAGGGCCTTGTGCCTACTAGGTAAATGTTCTGCCCCTAAGCCTTGTCACTAGAACCCCTCCCCTTCTAATTAAAAGACATTTAACTTTATTATTATTAAGTGCACATGTAGTAGGAGTACGTGAGTGTGGGTGGGCGTGCTGTGCCACAGTGTGTGCGTGGACGTCAGAAGGCAGCTTACAGTGCTTGGCTCTCTCTTTCCACGCTGAGTTCTGGTGATCGAACCCAGGTCAGCAGGCTCTGCAGCAAGGGCTTTTACTCCTGAACCATCTCACTGCCCCCTACTCCCCTTAGTCTTTGAAAACCGTTTAGGCAGTGCTGGGAATGGAAGCTAGGACCTCATGCCTGCTGGACAGACACTCTACCACTGAGTTCCACCCCTAGGTCGCTGTCCTCTTTCCCCAAAGAGACCCTGCTTCCCACTTTTACTGTTGGCTAATAAAAAGTACCTCTTTTGAACGTCAGACGGTGGTGGCACACGCCTTTAATCCCAGCGCTCGGGAGGCAGAGCCAGGCGGATCTCTGTGAGTTCGAGGCCAGCCTGGGCTACCAAGTGAGTTCCACAACAGGCTCCAAAGCTACACAGAGAAACCCTGTCTCGAAAAACCAAAAAAAAAAAAAAAAAAAAAAAAAAAAAAAAAAAAAAAAAAGGTACCTCTGTCCTTTTGTTCTTTACTGCAGTTTTGGGCCTTGAGGAAATGGGCACTGGCCTGGATTGTGTCACCTTATTGTCACAGTATCAGATGATTGATAAGTCTTCCTTGGTAACTAAATGACATTTTTACCCTTTGCCTACAGGTCCCACGACGACGACGACATGTACCAGCCGTCCAGTCTTGACACTGGCAGGAAGTAGAAGGCGTCGTCGTCTCCTGCGGCCACACCCTCATCATGTCTTCGGCTCAGGGCAATGGGGAGCACTGGAAGTCCCTGGAGTCCGTGGGCATCAGCCGCAAAGAACTGGCCATGGCTGAAGCCCTGCAGATGGAGTACGATGCCCTTTCCCGGCTCCGACATCACAAGGAGGAGAACAGGGCCAAGCAGAACACAGAGCCCTCTCTCATCAGCTGGGATGAGCCAGCCTTGGACTTCTACAGCAAGCCAGCCGGCAGGAGGGCAGACCTCAAACTCTTGCGTGGTCTTTCTGGCTCTGATCCTACCCTGAATTACAACTCCATCTCCCCACCAGGAGAGCTCCCCAACTCTACCTCCCAAGATCCGCAGCCTGGCCCAGATCCCTGGCCCAAGGGCTCCCTGCCTGGAGACTATCTCTATATTTTTGATGGCTCAGATGGGAGGCTCTCGTTGTCTCCAGGATCAGGTGACCCAGATGGTTCTAGCAAGAAACTATCCCCGCCTCCTCTGCCTCCTCGGGTCTCTATCTGGGATGCCCCTCCCTTGCCTCCCAGAAAGGGGTCCCCCTCACCCTCCAAGATCTCTCAGCCTAATGACATCAACAGTTTTTCCTTGGTGGAACAGCCACCTGACAAACTGTTAGGGCCCCAGGACCCAGAAGAGGAAGAGCTGCCTGATGGTGGGGGCCAGCGACACATGCTGGGATCTGTGGACTATGACGGCATTAATGATGCAATTACAAGGCTCAACTTGAAGTCAACTTATGATTCGGAGATCTTGTCTGATGCTACCAGGGGCTGGAAGGAGGGCCGAGGGCCCCTGGACTTCAACAAGGACACCTCTGGAAAGCCTGTGGCCCGGAGCAAGACGATGCCCCCTCAGGTTCCCCCCCGAACCTATACTTCCCGATATGCCAACCGAAAAAATGCGACACCTGGCAAGAACCGTCGGATTTCTGCTGCTCCGGTGAGGACCTTCCTGTGTGTTCATTCAGAACGTGGGCTACGTTCTCTTTACCCTTCCAAATTCAGGTCTCCCAAGCACTCACGGGCCCCTTTAGTCCTCTTCTGCTTCTGCCTTGGGGACCCTTGGGCGATTGTGGTGGGGGTTGGGAGGGATCCAATCTCGGCTTTGTTATGGGAGGCTGGGCCAGGAACATCAGGAAGGGTCTGGCTTCTTTCCTAGGCTAAGTTTCAGTGTCTTGACCCAAACAGCCCTTCTGGGGGCACATGTTTGGGGATCATGGCTGCTAATAGGTACTTCCTTCATGATGCAAGGACTGAGTTAGGAGTCCTCAGACTTACCATTGACTCTGTGGTTGAGTGGTGGAGGTGGGACTTGGAGCTGCTTCTTACTCCTGAGGCTCTGTCCTGCCAACTGCTGCACGGCTACTCACGGCCCTGATGATCGTCCGTAGTGTTAGCTGCTTGTTCAGTGCCCGCAGAATTCCAGACCCCTATCCAGATCTCCACGACAACCCTGTCTGATGCTCCAAAGCCACCCAGCAGGAAATGGCAGAGCTGGTAGTAGAGCCTGGTCTTGTTCCCAAGTCTTTCTCCCTCTTCCTCTCACCTTCCCGTCCTCACTGCTCTTTATTGTGATAAAATATATGTGACATAACATTTACCGTCAGCCACTTAAAGGTATGTAGTTCAGTGGCATTAAGTACAGTCATACTGTGGGGGTGTTTACTTTTAGCCATCTTTCCCCACTGAAAATATTTAGAAAAAGGCCTGGCAGCGTGATAGTAATGCTTTGGCTTATATGAGTATACATCACAATGCTTTGGCTTATATGAGTATACATTAAAAAGTACAAAGTCAAGCCGGGTGGTGGTGGCGCACGCCTTTAATCCCAGCACTCGGGAGGCAGAGCCAGGCGGATCTCTGTGAGTTCGAGGCCAGCCTGGGCTACCAAGTAAGTTCCAGGAAAGGTGCAAAGCTATACGGAGAAACCCTGTCTCCAAAACAAAACAAAACAAAACAAAAACCAAACAAAAAGTACAAAGTCTACATTTCATCCCAGGTGGCTTCCACAGCAGCCTTGATATGTTTTTGGTCCATGGAGTATCTCCAAAGGTGGGACCTGAAGACCACCTTGCTTATACCCCTGACTTCTGGACACCCTGGTCCCCGTGAGTCTGGAGGCTGCTTCCTAGCTGCGGACTTCTGTAGCTCCTTATGCCCCCTCATCCGTCCTCTTTCCTCCTTGCCCATTGTCTTCGTGCACTGGGGCTTCCCCACCTTATGTCCAGCCTTAGGGATCACTCCCATCACGGCATAGTTGCACAGTCCGTCCTTCCTCTGCTTTTTCAGAGCGAGCCCCTCAAAGCCTAGTCAGGGTGAGCTGCAGCCCCAGAGCTCAGGCTTTTTAAAGGCTCAACTCAGAGGTGGGGCTGCCCCTGCTATTTATAGGGATGGGGAGAGTCATGTCCTTAGCTGAGTTCCTCACACAGAGCCGGGCCTGCTCACAGAGTCAGGCAGCCTGGGGTAGGTGGTCACCTCTGTCTTCCCTCCCCCACCTCATGCATCATCAGAGTACCGAAACGGAGCCTGATCTGGTTCGGAGTCTCCTTGAAGAAGCAAGGGCAAAGCAAAAAGCTCTTGCCAGTTCTGGGGTCGGGGAGGCAATGCGGCAGTGGCCCTCCCCACCTCAGGTTGGGGCGGGGGCTCAGCCTGCTGGCCGGGGAAACCCTTTGAGCTCTGCGCCTGTACCCCCACCCCGCTTTCACCGAACTTCCAGCCGGAAGGATCCTTCTTATCCCAGGCCCACTGAGCCATCTCTGCAAATGGCTGGCTCCAAATGCCAGCCTGGTACCCCCGCTGCCAGCCTCTGCCTGGCAGACTCCCCCGGCCAGCATCGGACGATGCCACCAGGGCCTGCCAGCCGGGCAAACGTAAGTGGCTTTTGTTTTCTTACAGTGCCAGGGAATGGTACAGAAAGGGCATGAAATGGCCTTCAGTGGCCATTCTGTTTTCTCCCTCTCCCTCTCCGCCTCTCTTGCCTCTTCTGTCTCTCTCTCTCTGACTCGCTCTCATAGGTTAATTGCTGACAGTGGTACTATTGTTTGGACTGGGACACAGGCATACGCTTGGCAAAGCCAGGGCCTCACATGCCAACTGCCCCCACTGCTGCCTTCCTCTTCATGTGCTGGCACCCCCACTCTACACACACCCAGGGGAGCAAGGCTGACCAGAGGGAGGGACACTTGAGGAAGCAGTCAGAATATTCAGTGAGGACCTTGGTCGCTACCTTCTGCCCTGAGGGACCGGGAGGGCATGAGAGCAGCTGTGGGGGTGAGGCGAGGTGAGGGGGCACACACAAACTGCAGTCTCAGACACCCCCTTTCCTCCCCAATGCAGCTGTTAGAACCTGCTGCCTTTACCAGATGCAGCCTGGGACTCCATGGAGTCAAAGCCTCATTCCTGGGTGGCTGCCTTCCTTGGGCAGGCCTATGAGGGCTGTCTGTAACAGCTGCTTCCTTGTCGGTTCCTCCCTGGGGCTCATTTGAGGGTTTCCTGGGTGTTTGAGAGCAGCCCAGGATGGGAGACGGCTTGGGGCCTTGTTTGTCTAAGGACCCCAGAACCACATGTATGTTCTGGGAGAGGAAATGTGGCCAGTCTGGGCAGGCTGCCTGTGGCCCTAGCCGCTTAGAACCAGCAAAGCCTCTCAGGAGCCTGCAGGAGCCCAGCCAGGTCGTCTCCAGCACAAATCCTGCTTTGACACATGGGTCTTCTTACTGAGAAGGCCCATGTGTCTGAATCATACCCACTACTGAAGAGCTCAGCCTCTGAGTCTGGTTTCCGGGGCCTTGGATGTTGAGGCTTTTGTCCAAGGCCAGGCCTCCCTGGGAACCGTTGGGACTGACCACCTGCCTGACCTGGCTCAGCTCACCTGTATGTCTCTGGGAGCCTTCCCCAGAAGGCTTTGCCCACCAGTGGCCGTCAGCACTGTGTTACAGACTGCTTGGCTGGCCACACTGGACTGGTCAGACATGTCTCCCTCACAAAGCAGGTATGGCCGCTCTTGTCCACTGCCCCAGTAGCCACGCTCAGCCTGGGCTTCAACCCCCTTTTCTGTTTGGTCTTAGGAGTCCTAGGTTGGCTGACAATGTATTTCTAGATTCCTTTTTTAAAATCATTTATGTTCCTTTTAATGTTAAGTCGAAAGTCCTTATACACAGACTGTGTCTTTCCATCCGGGATGCCATGAGGCAAAAAATACTGAGTCAGCTGCTCTTCCCTTAAAGGTGGGCTCCCGGCCCCACACCATCGCCAGTGGCCACGAATTGTTTGAGGTCTCAGAGGAGAGAGATGAGGAAGTTGCTGCGTTTTGCCACATGCTGGATATGTAAGAATTGAAGGATGGGATGGGGGTGAGGGGTGTGTGTGTGTGTGTGTGTGTGTGTGTGTGTGTGTGTGTGTGTGTGTGGTTGGGAGGATTCTGAGTCTCTGGAGGAGACTAACTGTTCCTTTAGGAAGGAGGAAGAGCTATAATAAATAAACGCCCACAGAGTGGGATTGACCCTTCCTCCAGCAGGTGCCTGCAGGTTTTAGTGAAATCTTAGAAGTTTGCCAGGTGTGGTGGTGCACGCCTTTAGTCCTGGCACTGGGGAAGCAGAGGCAGGTGGATCTCTATGAGTTTCAGGCCAGCCTGGTCTACATAGCAAGTTCCAGGCTAGCCAAGGCTACAGAGTGAAACTCCTTCTCAAAAGAAAAAGAAAAAAAAAAAAGCCCGGTGGTGGTGGTGGTGGTGGTGGTGGTGGTGGTGGTGGTGGTGGTGGTGGTGGTGGTGGCACACGCCTTTAATCCCAGTACTCTGGAGGCAGAGCCAGGAGGATTTCTGTGAGTTCGAGGCCAGCCTGGTCTACAGAGCGAGATCCAGGACAGCCACCAAAACTACACAGAAACCCTGTCTCGAAAAACCAAACAAAAAGAAAAAAAAAATTTAGGTTTGCACACTTTTAGTAAAGTTCACAAACCTTGATCAGCCTAATTATCCCCTCACTTCAGGCTCTGACCCTCCGCTGCGCTTAGGAGCACACACACCTCTCAGGGAAGAAAAAACCTCTTGTACCGAAGAGAAAGGAAGTGGATTTCTAACTGCTTATTGGTTAAATTCTGTTAAACTTAGTATGGAAAACTGCTTTCAGAGTTCTTGCTACCATCCCACTGTGGGGATTGTTTTGCTACCGTAGCAGAGACGGCAGGAATACAGATCCCCAGGGCTGCCTCCCCACTGCCCCAGCCTGGCCTGCAGATCAGGGGGCTGAGCTGAGTAGGGACAGGAAAGTCTGTGGGCCTTAGGGTGGGAGGGGCCCTCATCATGATTTTTTGAAGACATAGAAGAGTCCTTCTCCTTTTCCTCCTGTACAGCCTTCGGACAGGCTCTGACATCCAGGATTATTCCCTAACTGGATATGTCTGGAGCACTGTCACCCCGAGCCCAGAGCATCTTGGGGATGAGGTCAACCTGAAGGTGACTGTGTTGTGTGACAGTCTTCGGGAACCACTCACTTTTACCTGCAACTGTAAGTTAGTTGGGGTTGTGTGAGTGTCCTTGGAGGTGAGGCAGGGAGGGAGGACTGTGGTTTGGACTGTGAAGTCTTTTAGTTTTGATTCTCTCCTCCTCTGTAGCCAGAATGAGGGGCGGATGGGACGCTTTTTCTGGGGGGCTAGCTTTCTAGGTACACAATTACTCTCCCCACCCCCAAGCTGTGTGTTCACCTGCTTTATCTAGCTGTTGGTGATGGTACCAGCTTAGCTGGTGATAAAGGGTCAAAGTTGGGAGGTCCTGTTCCACCTGCCCAATGTCACTGTCCTCGTCTCTTCGGCCTCCCTGCTTGCAGGTTCCTCCACTGTGGACTTGCTCATCTATCAGACCCTCTGCTACACCCATGATGAGCTGAGGGAGGTGGACGTGGGTGACTTTGTGCTCAAGCCCTGCGGACTGGAGGAATTCCTCCAAAAGTGAGTGAGTGGAGTAAGGGACGTGTGGGATGGAGGTGGCACCTGCCTTCTGGCTGGGAGAACGAGGGAGGGTCTTGGAGACCTGCACCTGGGCTCAGCATTCGCTGCTCTTCCCTAACCCTGCAGTCAGGACTCCTGCTTTCTGGGCACATTCCCGGCCACGTCGCGTTTTCCCTAGGAGCTCCATCTTCCAGCTGGGTTGGCTGGATCCTGAGCCAAATCTGCTGTGGAAAAGCTTGGAGCTGGGATTAGGCAAAGATGAGGTCGTATCTGTGTGCAGGCTTCTGGTTGCTGAGAGATGTGCACTGTTTGTGGAGGCAGCTGAGGGGCAGCGGCAGGTTGCTTCTCCTGGTCTAGAGCACATGCAACCAACCGCTGGGCAGAAATGCCCTCACAGAACCAACGGGAGAAATTACAGTGGCCCTGGCTGGCTTTCCCTTGCCAACATGCCTTTGTTTCCACTGGCCTGTGCAGCTGGTTAACCTCCTCCCAGGCTGGCTTCCAGCTCCCTCCAGCCAAATACCCTCTACAGAAAGCAGCTTCCCTGGAAAGTGTGATGTGGGACCGGCTAAGGGAAGCTCTCGCCACTACTCTGGACTGTGGAAAACTGGGGTGGGGAAGGCAGGGCTCCCACCCCCAGGGGTAGCATGTGGCAGCAAACCTCAGGATCCATCCAAGTTTCTGTGTGGCTGTTGTACCATCTGTGGCCTCCTTAGAGGAAACAGACCTTGGGACTAGAGAAAGACAAGGCCTGTATCTCCCTCGTTAGCAGTTTCCGTGAACTGTGGCACTTCTGTGGAGCTGTGCATCTTCCCTCCAGCAGATCTACAAGGAAGAATAGTTTTCTATGGCTAGAGCCAGGACCAATAGTCTGAACTAGAGATTCATTGCTTGGCCGATTTCTTCAGCATTGGGGATAGTAGGTATTCTCTGGCCTCTGCATCCTCATCTAGAAACTGCAGGAAAAGAAGCAGGCCCATCGTGATATAATTCCAGGGTACCCTCAGCTGTGTTCCTTCTTGTGTTCATTGTATCCCTGCTGCCCCTACAGGGGCAGGGAGGGGTCCAGGATCCAGGGTCTCCTGGAAGCACTAGCCCTGAGCAGCTTGCCATTGTTAGGAGGGAACAGGGCTATGGTGGGTAAATCAGACCCCAGGAAACACTATTTATAATAAATTCTGGCTTTCCACTGGCCAGTTATAAAGCCTGCTTCTTGGTGCCCTCTGCAAAGAGTGGTGAAGTTTTAGATGGGAGATGTAGCTCAGTGGGGTAGAGGTGAAGCCCAGCATGGGTGAAGCTCTGGGCTCCATCTGTGCACTGCACACACACACACACACACACACACACACACACACACACACACACACACACACACACAGAGAGACAGAGACAGTCAGAGAGAGACAGAGACAGAAAGACAGAGGACACAGAGACAGAAAGAGAGAGACAGACAGACAGAGACACAGAGAGGACACACACAAAGAGACAGAGAGACACACAGAGTCAGAGAGAGGACACACGCACAGAGAGAGAGACAGACAGACAGAGAGGCAGGCAGGCAGGCAGGATGAGGGTTAGTGTGAGAAGGACCTGATGAGTAGTCAGTGGCTACCAGCAGCCAAGGACCAGCCCCAGAAGAGGATTCCTGGGGCTCCAAAGCATACAGATGCCACATTTTCCCTGTAGACTCCCAATCCTGGAGCCCCAAGTCTAGAGGCAGTGGGAGATGTCAAGTGGAATGTTGCCAATGAGATGAGACCAGGTAGAGGTCCTTGGGTCATGCCCTCCAACTGCTGTGCACAGCCCAAGCCCTTTCACAAACAAGCTGAAGGAAGTCATTGGGGCCATGACTCCCTGGTTCTACCCGCCCACCCTGCATAAAAGCATAGTGCTGGTTCCTTTCCTGGGTGGAAAGGTTCAGAAAATTGCTAGCTCCCAAGGAAGCTCTCAGGATTGTTTCCCTTGCCTAGCTGGAGGGGCTGATACTGAAGGGGAGTGTGGCTCCAGGATGCTGGCTGCTCTGTGATAAGAACCTTGAGACAGTCCTAGGGGAGGGGAGGTTTCCTGCTACCTCCCCCTCTCTACCACGGCACTCACTTTTCCTTCCTGACAGACCCTCCTGCAGGCCTGCCCGGCAGTCTAGCCTCTCCACCATACTTCAGGTTTGCTTTCGTCTGAGCAGGTCAGAGCTCATATTGCAGGTCTGGTCCCCTCAGGATTTGGAAAGCCTCAAAGTCTAGGCTGGTTTTGTTTGGCCCGAGGCCCTGTATTTCCAGAAGTTTCTGCACCCCTCCTTCCCTTTTGCTCCCCTCCGTTCCCCTCCATTCTAGCCTAGATTCCCACCTCTGCTGAGGAAGGAAGGCAGTTTCCGGCTTCTGTTCCCCAGATGCTGCCGCTTGGCCCAGCCCGCAGCGCTGGCCTCCAGTGGGGCTTGCTCAGCCCTTTCTTGTGGGTTTCCTTTCAGATTAAGGTGTGATTTGGGGGAGAGGAAGAGGTTGGGTGGTAGAGGGACTCAGCAAGCTGCCTCTTCTGAACTAAGGCTCTACTTGTGGGTGCTGAGCTGTGAGAACTGCGGATACTTTTTAGAAAGTGTGGAGACTTATAGGGCCGTGGAGGAAGGGGAGAAATGGAGCCCGTTTCGGGAAAATAGTTCTGGAATTCTGGTGGGATTGCTTCATTTGTCCTCAGCACCTTAGTAGGTAACACAAAAAGAAGACTGGACTCCCTTGGTTGTCAAAGCCAAGAAAGTGGGATTTAAACAGCTGCCCCCCCAAGAACTCCCCCTATAACCCAGCTCTTTATAGGGGTTCCTGTCCTGAGAATGAGCCAGTGAGTCATTTGTGTAGCTCAAGGGTTAAGTGTTGTGGGTGACTTTTATTCAGGTAAACTCCATGCCGTCCCTCCATGCTTCACTATGACATTTACAGGAGTAAAGGATAAAGCCTACAACACAGGCCCATTCCCCTTCCTTTCTCTGCTGTCTTCCCTTCCTTCCTGTTGTCTCTCCTCAGCCTAAAGTATGCATCTCTCCTCCCACTGAGTTCCCCAGGCACTAATGGTCTTGTCCCCTACCCCACCAGTAAACATGCCTTGGGCAGCCATGAGTATATCCAATATTGCCGCAAGTTTGACATCAACATCCGACTCCAGCTGATGGAGCAGAAGGCCATACGAAGCGACCTGGCCCGCACGGTAAGTGTTGGAAATGGCTGACAACTGCACATACCTGGGAGGTAGAGTGGATGGAGGGGGATGTAGAACATGTTGGGATTGGGGTGGGGTAGGTACGCGAGGCTGAGAAAAGGACGTCGCTCCTGCCTGACAAGGATGCTGCTCACTCACTCAGGTGAATGATGACCAGAGCCCTTCTACCTTGAACTACCTCATCCATCTCCAAGAGAGGCCAGTCAAGCAGACCATCAGCAGGTGAGAGTGGGTACCACCTTGGGGTCGTCCAAGTAGGAACCATGAGGGGATGGCATGGATACGCTTGCCTGGCTTCCTACGAGCATGAGAGATTCTCGTAAATGTCTGGGACTTTGGCCCAAGAAAGTTGTCAGGAGTGATTGTACCCCAGGGCATACTTCCTCTCTTCTCTCAGAGCAGAGTTTTTCAACCTTCCTAATGCTGTGACCCTTTAATACAGTTCCTCATGTTATGGTGACCCCCAACCATAACATTATTGTCATTGCCACTTCCTAACTGTAATTTTGTTACTGTTGTGAATCGTACTGTAAGTATCTGATGTGCAGGATGCCTGTCTGATATGCGACCCCACAGGTTGAGAACCACTGCTCTCCGTACTTCTTCTGTCCTTTTCTAGGTGAGAGGTAGCATAGTGGAAAAGACCCGTTTTCCATCCTCTTGGGGCACAGAAAGAGTAGGAAATCCTTCACATCTTGGGGCACAGAAAGAGTGGGAAATCCTTCACATTGGAGTTTGATCCTTGAGTGGAGAAGAGGGAAGGGAAAGGGTGGGCCTCCCAGGACAGCGAATCTTTTGTGATCTCTCCTGTGATTTTTCTCACCCCACACCCCCAGGCAGGCCTTGAGTCTTCTGTTTGACACTTACCACAATGAGGTGGATGCCTTCCTGCTGGCTGATGTGAGTACACATCCTGGGACTGAAGAGAGGAGCCACTGCAAGTTCCCTTCTTCCCCAGGCTTCCTGCAGTCAGATGACAGTCTGTCAGTGACACCTTCTTTTCATCCCCCTAGTTCTGGGCAAGCGAAACACCTCCTGGCTGGGCAACAGCTGGCAAGTGTGTAGAAAAGGTGTTCGGTCCCTCTGTGAAAGTCAAGAGGTGCACTGTGACGGCTGTCTCTGGAGTAGACATCTCCAAACTAAGGGTGTAGCCCCAGGCGTGTGTGTGTGTGTGTGTGTGTGTGTGTGTGTGTGTGTGTAAAATGCCCCAGGCTTGTGTGTGTGTGTGTGTGTAAAATGCCCCAGGCTTGTGTGTGTGTGTGTAAAACGCCCCAGGCTTGTGTGTGTGTGTATGTGTGTGTGTGTGTGTGTGTGTGTAAAATGCCCCAGGCTTGTGTGTGTGTGTGTGTGTGTGTGTGTGTGTGTGTGTGTGTGTGTGTGTGTGGAAAATGCCCCAGGCTTGTGTGTGTGTGTATGTGTGTGTGTGTGTGTGTGTGTGTGTGTAAAACACCCCGGGAACACCATCTGAAGAGGCTATGTTGAGCCTGTATCACAGAGATACCACACCCTCAGGGAAGTGGCAAGTCCCAAGGCTAGATCCTTTCCCTCTTGGACCTGCATGGGCTGCAAACCTTGGAACCATTTACACAAATATCATGAAGCTAAAGCAAAGTTCTTTGGAAGTGAGTTTCAAAAATCAAATCTCTTGCCAGGCATGGTAGCACATGGCTTTAATCCCAGGAGGCAGGAGCAGGCGGATCTCTCTGAGTTCAAGGTCAGCCTGGTCTACACAGTGAGCTCTATGCCAGCCAGAGCTATATAGTGAGAGCCTGTCTCAAAAAACAAAGCAAAATAACAACCCCATGTTCTCAGTCCATTTTTCAGTCATGGATTCTTCCCTCTGGGGTAATAGGTCTAGTTCGCCCTCCACCCACTATTGGAATCCATTTTGTAATAGTCTGTACAATAACACCAGCACTGAGTTCTTAAACCACTTTGCAGTGTTCTGTGTTAGTTTAGGGGGTGGGCAGAGCCAAGGTGCATAGCGTAAGAATTGTTTTAGCCTCAGGGAGTTTATGTGGTTAGGGAAATAGAAAGTTCATCTAATGCTATTAGATACAGGAGGGTGACTGTGATTGTTGGGATGGGGAAGCTTTGTGAAGGAGTAGGTGTCCTGGTCCCTAATCTGAAGTGACGTAAGTAGTCACAGTCAGACAGAGGAGATTTCAGATGAGAAAATCCTGGGGGCCAAAGTGTAGAAGGGAGGGAAGAGTGTGGTGTGTCTATGGCAGCAAGCGATTAGCCGGGGCATTCTGTGGTGGGTTATGAGAAGTCTAAGAGAGGAAGTGGGGCCTTAGTATGTTTCTCTCACCTCCTTGCTATCCTCTGCCAATTGATTTCTTAACACTTTAGGCCTCTTGCGGAGACCTGTGTGTGCTTGTATAGCAGAAATAGACCATCACAACAGACTGGGAATAAAAGGTTTAGGGGAGGGGCTGACAGGCTAAGAAGTGTGGCTGTGGCCCACTCAAAGCAAGAGACTGTTTGCGGAGGCTGAATATCTGAATATAAAGTATGGCTCCTGGAATTCCTCCTTAGAGTCATTAGCCCCTGCACACCCTTTAAGGCTGGGCTGGGGGGAGGCACAGAGCTGAATCACTTGCTTCACTGTATGGCCTCCCGCAGGGGGATTTCCCACTGAAGGCAGACAGGGTGGTCCAGTCTGTCAAGGCCATCTGCAATGCTCTCGCTGCCGTGGAGACTCCTGAGATCACCAGTGCTCTCAATCAGCTGCCTCCCTGCCCCTCACGCATGCAGCCAAAAATCCAGAAGGTAAACGGGTCCAGGTGTTAGCATGAGGAAGCGACAGGGATGGTCACAGGTAGCTGGGTGGCTGATGCTGAGAAACTTGGTGTCCACTTACTAAATTGCTCTTCCAGCAGTGTGTGGTGGCCCACACCTTTAATTCTAGCATCTGGGAGGCCGAGAGACAGGTGGATCTCTGTGAGTTTGAGGTCTGTCTGGTCTATACAGTTGAGTTCCAGGACAGCTTGGGCTACAGAGTGGGACCCTGTCTCAAAAAACCAAACAAATAAACAAACAAACAAACACAAAAGGTTCTTCTCTACCACCATTTATGTGTAAGCAGTTCAGACACAAGAATTCCTGGGGAATGGATGCCAAGCATGTCCCCTCTCTTAAGCATAGGGATGGGATAGCTTCAGTCTCCTGGGAATGACCACATGAGCCAAGAAAGGCTTTATTTAGTCACCAAGGCCTTGTCTGACAGTTTGCTTATCCTTGAGGGTGCAAACCCAAGCCAGGGGAAAATCCCAAGAGCCAGGAATTCAGTGATTCCACAGTGGGATGTTGTACTGTAAAGGCATGTTAGCACCACAGACCCTGTATCCCCAGCCTTGGGGCCTGAGGGTGGGCCTCTTTCCTTAAGGTGAGCAGGTTTGTTTTTGTTTCTTTAATCTGCTTACTCTGTCCATCCCATGGCTCTGGTACAGACCATCACTCCCTCCCTCTCCCTGGGGAATCTCTGCTCCTCACATTTCAGCCCTGCCTGGTCCAGATGAGCACAGCTGTGAAAAGCTCTTCCAACTACGATAAAAGTGGGCCTGGGCTCTGTCTGACTCTCTCCTTTCCCCAACAGGATCCCAGCGTGTTGGCTGTGAGGGAAAACCGAGGTAAGGACAGTGCTCTCCCTCTTTGTCCCATAGAGGCTGGAAACTGCCAACTGCTGGCTCAGCCCACATTCTTCTTCCTGCTCGGCCCCTTGGTGTGTGTGTGTGTGTGTGTGTGTGTGTGTGTGTGTGTGTGTGTGTGTGTGTTTCCCTGTGAGGTGTGGACACAGCTGGAGCCCACATTTCTTTCCACAGATCTTTTTCTCATTATTTTTGCTAATCAGCCCTTATGGTGTTACTGGGAGAGGGTGATGAGGTGGGGTAGAGGCATTGGCAAGGATGAGTTTATCCTTCAATCCAGATGGAAAAGCTCGCCCTGCTGGGTTGTGATTCTTCCCCTGGCAGCCACAACCCTTTACACTTCCAATTTAGAATGGGACTTGGGAGATGGGAGGAAGGATTTTTCCCCAGAATTCTTTCCTTGCTACAGTCTTTGAGCAGATCCTCGTCCTCAAAACCAGTGTCACTGACTTTCTCTCTCTCTCTCTCTCTCTCCCTTCCTTCCTTCCTTCCTTCCTTTCTCTTTCCTTCCTTCTCCTTTTTCAAATTTTATTCTATTTTTTCTTTTAATTTTTTCATTTTATTTTTTATGAGCATTGATGCTTTGCCTGCATGTATGCCTGTGTGAGCATGTCAGATCCTGGAACAGGAGTTACAGTTGTGAGCACCCATGGTGCTGGGAATTGAACTTGGGTCCTTTGGAAGAGCAGCCAGTGCTCGTAACCACTAACCATCTCTCCACCCCAATCACTGGCTTTCTTAAAAGTGAATCCATCTTTGTACTTTGCAGACCAAAAATTGTCCCCTAAAATCTTCTAGGAGCTAACGGAGGTTTTTTTGTTGTTGTTGGTTTGTTTGTGTGTGTGTGTGTGTGTGTGTGTGTGTGTGTGTGTGTGTGCACATGCTTCTGCATGTGCATGGTGCTGATGGTACTGGAGGTGTACAAGCTTGTTAAGATTTTTTTTTTTGTCAAGAAAATACTTTTAAAAAAAGAGATGTGTTTTTATTTTATGTATATGAGTATTTTGCCTGCATGTAAGTGTGTGTGCCACCTACGTGCCTGATACCCACAGAAAACAGAAGAGGGTGTTGGACCCCTCTCTGGAACTGGAGTTACAGTTGTTAGCTGCCATGTGGGTGCTGGGAATCAAACCTAAGTCCTCTAGAAGAGCAGTCAGCTCGCTTAACCATTGAGCCATCTTTCTAGTCCTAGAAAAAGACTTTTTAAAAATAACATTTTAGGCCGGGTGGTGGTGACACAGGCCTTTAATTTTAGCACTCAGGAGGCAGAGCCAGGCGCGGATCTCTGTGAGTTCGAGGCCAGCCTGGGCTACAGAGTGAGTTCCAGGAAAGGGACAAAGCTACACAGAGAAACCCTGTCTCGAAAAATCAAAAAAATAAAAATAAAAAGAATAACATTTTAGTACTAAATAATGTTAAGTATCTGTATAAGATAGGATCACACTTAAAGCTGGACATCTCTTGATGAAAGGCTCAGGGCATATTCCTGCATCTTTCCTATTTCTCCACAGACGAGTAAGCTTTGTCACAGCTATTGAAAACTGGCTGGCATTTGGGCATCACTGTCCCAAGCTGTCCCCTACTGCTAGTGTCATGGCAACAAAATGGCCCTTGTTGAGTCCTAACTGAGCTGCCTTTCTGACCCTCTCCCCTCCACAGAGAAGGTGGTCGAAGCCCTGACAGCAGCCATCTTGGATTTGGTGGGGCTGTACTGCAACACATTCAATGCAGACTTCCAGACCGCGGTGCCTGGGAGCCGAAAGCATGATTTGGTTCAAGAGGCCTGCCATTTCTCTGGGGCCCTGGCCTTCACTGTCTATGCCACTCACCGCATTCCCATCATCTGGGCTACCAGGTGAGTCAGAGCTCTGGGGAGACAGATGAGCCTCTCCCCTTCTGCATGTGACCCTACTGTCCTCCATCTTAGGATGTGTGGCGTTCTGATGCCACAGGGCTAAGAGGGTGAGCCCAGTGCCTGAGGGGAGCCCAGCCCGTACCCACTGCAGAGAGAGAAAGTCCCCTAGGAGATAGATAAGCACCTGCCAGTCCCCCAGTGCTGGCTGCCTCGACATCTCTGCCCCCTCCAGATCGGCAGCCAGCTGAGGGAGACAGGCGACAGATGGCCAGTTCCCAGATAGAGTGTGGCCCACGCCAATGGCTGCACTCCCCTGCAGATGCACGATGAGGGTGGTGGGGAGGGGGTGACCCTTTGTCTGGGGTTCCCTTGCAGGGGTGGGTGGAGGAGGGCGTTCTTTGGGTCGTCCTCGGCTCTTCTGCTGGATCCCCAGAGTCCGGAGGCCTGGGGGAATAGGCATTTGGCCCCATCCCACCCTTACCCAGCCCACCCTCCTCCCCTCCCTTCCCTTCCCTTCTTTCTTTGTTTCTCACTTAATGTATTCCTCTGGGCGATTGGCGTCGAACAAAGGAGGCAGCCTGGGAAACAGGGCCCTTCTCTGACCTCTTCTGTCAGGCACCTGTCGTGAGCCACAGGGACCCCCATGTGCTGGCATTCATGGCAGCATATGTCGTTTGCCTCCCCCACACTCCTTGCCGGCATGTATATACATATGTATGTATGCACACACACACACACACACACACACACACACACACACACACACACACACACACACATCTGTGTGTGCCTGTGTGCTTCACTTGATGCGCTGGAACTGATTATAAGGACCAGGCTAGATGGCCATTCCCACGAAACGAAGGAAAACTCCTGTACTCGGCATGGGCCTGAAACTCTGGGGGTCTGGGGTCCAGATCAAGTTGCTGCTCCTAAGCATACTTCCTTAAAGCCCAGCTTGGTTGCCCTAACCCTCCCTGACTCCACGTTGCGTTCTCCAGAGATCAAGAGAAATCTACCAGAGGGAAATTGGAGGCTGGCAATAGAGTGGTTAAGACTGGTTTTAAGGGCAAGGTATCCTGACCTGCCCCTGTTCTTTTTGTAGCTATGAAGATTTCTACCTCTCCTGTTCCCTCAGCCATGGCGGCAAGGAACTGTGCAGCCCCCTGCAGACCCGACGGGCTCACTTCTCCAAGTACCTGTTCCACCTCATCATCTGGGACCAGCAGTAAGCCCTCCCTAAGCTCCAGGATGGCCTCAGACCAACCTGCTCACTTCAGGAGCAATAGTCAGACCTGGAGCAGAGCACAGCCTGGGTTAAATCTGGTTCCGTAACTATCCCTATCCAGATAGGTCACGCTGCTTCTTGAGTCTCTGTTTCCCTGACTCTTAAATGGGGACAGGCGTATAATTTCTACCTCTCAAGTTGTCAGGAATATCCAGTGGAAAGTACCCATAAAGGCTCTTTATAAGCTATAAAGGATCATATAAATGTTACCTGCTGATTTTAAAAATACTTTATTGTTTTGCTCTGGCCTCTTTTAAAGAGTTTAACTGGTCTGCAGGATTTCTGTTCTCTCCCTCCCTCCCGGTATTCCCTGGAATAGGCAGAAAGGCTAAGGTATATCTCCAAGCAGAGTGTTTGACTAAGACGTATGAGGCCCTGGGTTTCGGCCCTAGACAGCACTAGACTAACCAACAGAACCACACCTAGAATCTCAACACTTGGGAGGCATAGACAAGAGAATTGCTATAATATGGAGGCCAACCTGGGCTACATAGTCAAGTTCTAGGCCAACCAAGAGATCCCATCTCAATACACAGGAAGAACCGGACAGAGGGGCATGGCTTGTCCATTATGGATAGAGCAGGGAGGAAGAATGGGCATGGAGCGAGGAGTAAGGCTCTGTTTCGAGCTCTCTCTCTGATCCTGTGAGCTCTCTAGCCTGTCTGCCTCAGCTTCTCAAACTGAGAAATGAGGACACCTTTTTAACCTGGAGGCGGGTGTGGCACCAAAGAGAGACAGGCGGGTTATAAATACAGTAACCACCAGCACAAGATGGCATCAATTACCGTTTATTAGCAGTGATTTGATTTCAGGAAGGAATGCTTCAGCCATACAAAACAGGAAAGAAATGAGGGGTGAGGTGTTATTTGAATCTTAGACAGTCTTTTAATAAAAGAAAAACCCAGAGCCAGTATCTCTGCCCTGCCATATTACTTCCTGGATGAAAGGCCTGTGTGCTTCCCAAGCAAAAGCATGAGATCTCAAGTGCTGGGATTAAAGGTGTGTGCCATCTCTGCCTGACCTCTGTGTCTAATCTAGTGACTGGCTCTGTCCTCTGATCCTCAGGCAAGTTTATTAGGGTACACAATATATCAGCACAGTGAGGGGACCTTGAAGGTGGCATTGCTGGTGTTTGTTCCTAGTGCCTTGCCCATGCTCTACCCCCTTGCTGCTCCACCACCCCAGCGTCACTTCCCCAGGCCAACCATATCTGTGTCCCCACTGGCAAGGCGGCAAATGCAACTTAAAAGCATGGAATGCAGACTACAGAGACAGAAGAGTGTCCCTGGGGAGGTCAAAGATGCTTAAATAGGTAGATGAAGGGGCTGGGTGTTTAATAGATGGACCAGAGGGGAGACAGGCCTTGTTCGTCACATTTAGGTCATTCTTGAGCAGTAACAACGTACAATTACCACTAACAAACACTTCCCAGGATAGAAGAAACTCCCCAGAGACAAGGTAGCTGCGTGGTCTCTGAGAAGCAGAGCATGGTGCTCAGTGATATGAGCATTCAGGAAGCTGAGACAGAACTTCTGTGCGTCCGAGGCCAGCCTGGACTACATAGTGAGCAACCTGTCTTGGTGGGATCCTGGGTTCAGTGCAACACTGCCCAAGTAAAGAGCCATTGCGTTTCAGTAGTCCACTGAGCTTCTCCATCCTAACTTCCGCTGCCTAGAGGCGGATGCTGAGGACCTAGGGCCTGACAGAGTCAGGTATGGATGCAGCCCAGCCTTCCATGCTGTGTGTGAGATCTCTATCTTGATCCACAGGGCCAGGTCTCTAAGGCCCAGTGCCGTGTGTAGGGCATTGCCTCAGCCCGACCCTCCCTATGTCCCAAGTGAGACCTCTTAGCCCTTCTTAATGAAGACCACGGCATGCGGGAGAAGGTGGCACCCTGTGGCCAGAGCTCAGCTTTGGGCCAGCCATCTTTGGTAGATGATACCGTAGACAGCCTAGAATGGACGCGATTGGAGGACTGCTCGACAAGATCTTGAAGAGTCCGTAAGGACACTAAGAAAGACGAGAAAGGGAGAGAGAGAGTGAGAACGACAACTTGGCCGAGCATCTAGGGCTTTGGTAAACACTCACTCCTTCAGTGTCCGCGCCTGAGTACCTCAGCTCTGGCCTTCTCAGTTCCTGTTTCTCTGTTCCAGGTGGCTGACAGTGACTAATGCCTGAGGGAGATTTGTGTGAAAAAGCTATCTGTCTGTGTCACAGCACCCAGTCCAAGTGTAATGACTGGTGCCACACAGCAGAAAGGACCCCAGCGATAGCCCCCGCTTCCCCGAGTGAGCGAGCGTGCCAAGGGCCCAGCTGGCAGTTCAGCTGCCTAAGACTGTATGGCCAAGCAGGAGCCCCAGCACAGTCCCTGGAGGAGGCAGCCCCAGGGTTAACAGTGCTGAAGAAGAGCTCACAGGAAGGAGAAGTTCTCAGGCAAAGAGGAGAGTCAGCTCTCCAGCAGAAGTAGTGGTTCCCTTGACCAACCCCAGGCAAAGGGTTAGGGAGGCCATTTTGGAATCCCAGGTATCCTGAAAGACCTAAGAAATGGGAGGCCTTGTTTGCTTCTCTGTATTATGGTTTTAGTCAAAATGTCCCTCCCTCTCTTCCTTCCTTCCTTCCTTCCTTCCTTCCTTCCTTCCTTCCTTCCTTCCTTCCTTCCCTCCCTCCCTCCCTCCCTCCCTCCCTTCCTTCCTTTCTTCCTTCCAAGACAGGGTCTCATGCAGACTCAGATGTCAGCCTCGAAATTCCAGCAGTTCTCCTGTCTCAGCCTCCCAAGGGCTGGGATTATGGCCATGCCATGTGTCAGCCATGCTCTGCTCTGTCCTGTTGTGTGACTAGACCAGCTCCTCTCCTTGGCTATGGGGTCAGCTGCTTCTTCCCACTGTAGCGGGGTAGGAGATCAGCTCACTCTCAAAATAGGCTCAGCAGCCCTACTCTGTCCCCTCTAGCCAAAGCCAGCCTGGCATGTCCGTTGGCTGCTAAAGGGGCCCTAATTTTAGCTGTGGGGCCCCCAGGGTAGAAGCAGCTGGGGTAGAGCAGGATTGTGCCAGTCTGTGGCTGCTGCGGGCCTCCTTTGAGTGGACTTCCCCCAGGAGTGAGGGGCAGTGAGAAGTGAACTGGCCTTATCTGAAACCTCTGACTTTGGGAGTGGCTGCCCTGACTCTGTGCCCTTTAGGTGTAGAAGCAGCTGGGCCTTGGGCCAGCCAGGAGGGTGTGTCAGTGTGGACTTTGGCCCAGGGACAGCTTCCCGGAAAGGTAACCGGGTGGGTCCTGACTTTCATTTTCCCCAGCCCCCAAGCTCTCTCCACTTCCCCACACCCACATCTCCTTAGCTTGAATTCAGAGGGTGTGGCTGGGTGTAGCCCTGTCAGGGCTGACCAGGAGGAACAGCAGGCCTTGGGGAGCACTTGCTGCTTGGATGGGTCCTCTGGTTTTTGCCTGTCCCCTTTCTCACTCCTAGGGGACTCTGAAAACCCCTTTCTCTTTCTTCTTGGACTCTGAGCCTGGGTTGGTGTATGCCCCTGGGGCTGGAGGAGGGGACACAGACAGATGAGAAGGCTGTGGGGGGAGGGGCAAGCTGGGTGCAGAGAACTTGGTACTTCTTCCTGGTGACTTGGTTGGGTGGCGCTGGGGGAGAGGGGAGAGGGACTGCTGAGTGGAAAGGAGGCCCAAAGGAAGCTTTACTGACCCTCCATGGAAATCTGAGTGTGAGAAAAGGAGCTGGCACAAGACAGCATGGGTGGTCACCTGGACAGTGAGATGACTTTCAGCTAAGCAAGTTTGGTCTGAACCCTGCCTGGAAATTGGGGGACCTTTTTGACTCAGGAGTTTCAGAGACGTCTTTGTGGGTTCCTGGGAGTGCCTAGTAGGAACACCCAGAAGAGGTCCTGCTAACTTTGGGACCTGTCCTGGTTCTGTGGGAGGCTTACCTAGGAACCTCCGTGCTGATACCTGGCTTCTCGAGCCCCCCAGCCCCAGAAGGCTCTTGATTTTGGTTCCCTTGTTTCCTAGGCTCTGCTTTCCAGTGCAGGTGAACAGGCTGCCTCGGGAGACCCTGCTGTGTGCCACACTCTATGCGCTGCCCATTCCCCCTCCTGGGAGTTCCTCTGAAGCCAATAAGCAGAGGCGGGTGCCTGAAGCCCTGGGCTGGGTCACTACCCCTCTCTTCAATTTCAGGCAGTACGTGAGCCCCAGGGGAGCAGCTTCTGGCCTTGGAAGGGAGCCAGGGGATGGAGATTAAAAACCCGGTTGCTACACTCGGTGTCCCCTGGGAAGGGTTGGCCGAATGGAGCTCACTGTGAAGTCCAGAGGGCCTCAGCCCCAGTAGAGAAGCCAACGTACAGGTCTAGTGACCAGGACTACTGATGGAACCCGGTGGGTGGGGGAGGGGGCATGGGACAGCAGGGTTCCTGTAACAAGTCATCTGGTCCTGTCCTCAGGACTTTAGAGGTCATCTATCCAGGCCTCTCTGCCTCATGGAGATATCCCAGCCAAGCGGTCATCCTGGTCAGGGAGTGGTGAGCTTGAAGAGGCTTTCTTCCATGGGAGCCTTCCTAGAGATTAGAAATAACAGCTGGGCGCTGGTGGCGGCGCATGCCTTTAATCCCAGCACTTGGGAGGCAGAAGCAGGTGGATCTCTGTGAGTACGAGGCCAGCTTGGTCTCCAAAGCGAGTTCCAGGAAAAGGCGCAAAGCTACACAGAGAAACCTTGTTTCGAAAAATCCAGAAATAAGAGCCGTGGTCTGTGGGAAGAATCAAAGAGACGGGTGGGGGAGACACTTAACTAGAAAAGGTTTGGAGACAAGAGAGCGGGAGAGAACCCCACCACTCACAGTGGTTGGTAACTCATCTCCCTCTCCTTCTACCTCAGAGTCTTGACCTGTGGCCGGAAGCTTCTGGGCTTGTGGCCAGCAACACAGGAAAACTCCGGTGCCCGCTGGAGTGCACCTAATTTCCACCAGCCAGACAGTGTCATCCTGCAGGTGAGACTCTCTCTCCCATCCAGCAGTCACACAGCACCAAAGTCGCCTCCAAGGACCTCAGTGAGCTCTGGGCAGGAACTGCGGGCATGGGATGAGATGTGACTGAGCACTCCTGTGCATGTGAGGGCATGAGTGGAAAGTATCCAGCCCCCATTTCACATCAGCCTCTGAAGGTGAGGTCTGAGACCTTCTCCACCCAGAGCTCACCCTGTTTTGAACCTTCATCCTTCTAGGCCTGATCCAAAAAGGTGCTTCTCTTGGGGCCCGAGAGAAAGCAATCCCGTTAGTCACTCAGGGAACCTGTTCTCCTTGGAGGAAAGGAGAGAAGTTACCTCAACCCTAGTTCTGATTGCCCTTTCTCAAGCCCGTGAGATGCTGTGGTATGGAGTAGGGAATGGTAAAACTGACAGAATATGAAATAGAAATATACAGAGTGCATGCTTCGGGAGGCAGGTGTTTTTGTCTTGACTCTGTGCCTAGAAAAACACCCAGTTCATGCCAGGGTGCAGTATGCACTTGCTGAATGAGTGAGTAGAACTCCTTGGAGAACTGTATCTTCCCGCTCTGATGCCCATTTTTGGAGGGAAAGATATTTGGTGGCTCAGATGATCACAGGTCCTAGAGTTAGTAGATCCTTCACCCAAGGTGTGGCCCCAAATCCTCTCAGGCTGCAGCGCCTCCGGGACCACACTAGGGCGTCCCCAGCTTCAGCCTGGGCACCCTCAGTGACTTGCCCTAGTAATACCTGTTGAGGCGTTTGAGGTGGGGCTTTTCCTGTCTTTAAGCAGCTCAAGCCAGCCTTTCCCACCCATGTCCACTTCGCCTATTTTTTTTTTTTTTTTTGAGGGGAAGGCTTGGATGAAACAGGGCCTCTCTATGATTCTTGACTGTCCTGGAACTTACTGTGTAGATGAGGCTGCCCTCAAACATACATACTCCTGCCTCAGCCTTTTTCCAGTGTTAGGATTCCTGGCATAACCCTCCACCACGATAGGCTTCCTATGGTTTCCTTTCAGTTTTTGCTAAAAGTTACAGCTGGGACTTTGGGGATCCCCATGGACATCTGGGTTATTTTACAAAGAGCCTCAGGGAAAGGGAGGGAAGGATTGAGGCACCAGAGTGTGAGAGAACAGCTGGGGAGCCAGGGAAGTGGCCACCGCCGCCTCCTCCACTGACACTGTGTCTTCTTGCTTCTTCTGCTTCTCCTCCGATCCTGTCCCAAGATTGACTTCCCCACCTCGGCCTTCGACATCAAGTTCACCAGCCCTCCCGGAGACAAGTTCAGCCCCCGCTATGAGTTTGGCAGCCTCCGGGAGGAAGACCAACACAAACTCAAAGACATCACGCAGAAGGAGTCCCTGTACTGGTAAGGCCCTGGACCCCTCCGGGTGTGACCCAGACCCTTCCGTGTGTGTGACCCAGGCTTCCCACTGTCTGTCCACGTCAGCCTGACCTTTTCCCTCCCAGCATCTAGTCCCGGCCCTGGTGCTGGAGGACTGGAGATAGTCATTGCTACCACCCAGGCAGAAGGTGGTGGCAGCTCCCAGACCTTTCCCTAGCGGACGCTAGGGGAAATGGATAGGGCAGGTCAGGAAATGAATGTCCAGCCCCACACGAGTGACCTGTCCCAGACCCACCCTACCAGGAGGATGGATCAGAGCTTTGCCACTACCCTAGATACGCTTGTCTGGGTGAGGCAGCTGGTTGCTGACCTCACCGCCCGGCCCCCACCTCCTTCTACCCACCCCTTCCACACCAACAGCCTTTGCATTTTTCTGGCCTTGTCACGTTCCAAAAAGGATCAGGTGTCTTGGCAAGCTGGCAGCCCTCAGGAGTAAAGGAGTCCAGGCTGATCTCATCCTTGGGGCTGCTGTGTCCACCAGTGTTGGAGAAGGAGGGGTGAGAATGAGGGCATTTGGGGCTCTCGCTCATCCGAGCCACTTCTCCAGGCCCTGCATAGCCCTGTGGGTATGCTGGGCGGGGGAACAAGAGATGCAGACCTCCCCGCCCCCACCCCACTCCTGACCCCCTCACTTCATTAGCCCCTCAGCTCCTGTCTCCCATTAGACACCTGATCTCAGGCGAGTCCCAATTAGCTACAGACCCTGTAAAGCTAAGAGAAGTTCCAAGAGGCTTCGCAGCTGTCCAAACCCTGACAAGTGTTGCCCACTGCCCTCTAGTGGCCCTACTCTGGAGTCGTACCCTCAGGGCATCCCCTGGTTGGGTTTTACTGGTCCATGCTTTCAGCCTGGGTCTGACACATGCCCCTGAGATGGGATCAGAGCTGAGATCTGGACCCTGCTTTCCAAGCTGAGCTTCACATTGCAGTCACCTGTGATCCTTTTAAAATACCCGATGCCTAGTTTCTGGAGACATTCCTCCGACTCAGTGGGCGTTGGGGTGGGACCTAGGCGCCAGAAGTCACCAAGCTCCTCAGGTGATTAGAATGCACAGTGAAGTTGGGAAGCCACTGAATGGTAGGCAGTATGGGCAGCCATTCCCTTGGAATGTAAGTTCTCTGCCCTCAGGCTCACTCCACCGCTCTCCTCGCAGGCTCTCCGATGCTGACAGGAAGCACCTGTGGGAAAAGCGCTATTACTGCCACGCAGAGGTGAGCTCCCTCCCCCTGGTGCTGGCCAGCGCACCCAGCTGGGAGTGGGCTTGCCTGCCGGACATCTATGCTCTCCTGAAGCAGTGGACACACATGAACCACCAGGATGCCCTGGGGCTCCTGCATGCCACGTGAGTGGAAGCTCCTCCTTGTCCCGGCCTCAGCCCTGCCGTCACTGATGGGCCAGTTGGGGGACAGGTGGCACAAACATGAGTCTTCAGGGCTTTTCTAGTTTTCTTTTTGCTTTGTCTTGTGTATCCCCAGTCTCTTAAGATTGTGCTGTCCCCTGGAGTCCACCACTGTCGTTTCCCACACATGCTTCATTAGGTGTCTGAGTGCTCTCCTATTCACCCATCACACAGCATTAAATTGTAAATGTTTCAGCACGAACTTTTTGTTAAACAAACAATTTTGGGTTTTTGGTTTTTTTGTTTGTTTTGTTTTGTTTGGGACAGGGTCTCATGTAGCCCTACCTGGCCTGGAATTCACTTTGCAGACCAGGCTGGCCTTGAACTCACAGAGCTTCAGAGATCTGCCTGTCTCTGCCTCCGGAGTGATGGGATTAAAGGCGTGGGCCTCCGTGCTCCAGGTGCACACACATTATTAGCAGAGCTCAGGGTTCCATTTTTTTTTCTTTTGAGGCAAAATTTACATATAAGAAGATGCCCAAACCTCACATAATCATCCATAGTTCCAACAAATGCTTTCCCTTGTACAGCCCAAACCTTTCTTTCTGAGTTCTGATTTTAACAGTCCTCTCTTCTCTTTCTCCAATTGCTGGACCCCAAAATTTAGGGTCTTAGGTGGGCGCCCCAAGAACCCAGACTCCAGTCCAGTTGATGCAACAGCACGAGGATTTTATTAAAGAAACATCTGTACAGATGGGCAAACTCTGCTCCAAAGAGCAAGAGTCGCATCTTACTGCAGCCCCATAAGGGCTTTTAAAGGAAAAACCCACAAAACCCACAAGATTACAATTCCCATACAATTTCATGGCCTGATCACAGAGTGGGTACAGTCACGTCCGCATGTACATTCTTCCGGAAACCTCAAGGGGGGTATCAGGGCAGGAGTGGAGCTTACACAAAGGTCACAGTGGTCCTTCCCGGAACACTTGCAACTATCCCAGTCACAGTTGAGCACATCTCTTAACAGAAATCTTTTACATTGTTACATTGTTGCAGGGGTGACTGAGTAGTGGCTGAGTCAGGTTGACCTTGGAACTAGTTTTCTTTTTAGTTCCTTATTTCCTGGGGCTTGGGGGTGTAAGCCTGAAGGGCTAGGGTCTTTCACAATGAGTTCTTGGGGTCACGGGGCTGCCAGTCTGAGCTGCCTTTTCTAGATTGTACCCAGGCCTTCCGGCTTATTTTCTTGCCATCTCAGCAATCAAAATGTACCTGCCTTTGAGACTTTTTGAGGCTACATCTTTGCTAACCCCTGCAAAACTCATTTCCCGCCAGGCGGTGGTGGCGCACGCCTTTAATCCCAGCACTCGGGAGGCAGAGCCAGGCGGATCTCTGTGAGTTCGAGGCCAGCCTGGGCTACCAAGTGAGTTCCAGGAAAAGGCGCAAAACTACACAGAGAAACCCTGTCTCGAAAAACCAAAAAAAAAAAAAAAAAAAAAAAAAAAAAAAAAAAACCTCATTTCCCGGGCTGTCTCTTGGCTTATATAACCCCCCACAGTTCTCTATTGCTTGCCTGGCAGGCTTTGTATTGTAGGATGTTACCAAAAAACCTGCTTCACCCACTCGAGGGCTCCTTGACGGTAGGAATTTTTAACACAGTAGGAGTTTAGGAAGAGCTGTGGGAGCGGTGTGGAGGACTTTGTTCTATTTTCTTTAAAGTGTTCAGGCAATAAGAAAGGCTATTTTCCTGCTCTTCCCTGCCCAAGGGAGACTGTCCATGAGGTGGGGGAGGGGGGGCACCCCTAAGGGCTGCCCTCCAGAAGAGATGCTGATCTTGAGTGGGGAGGGGATAGAACTTTTCCTTCTCTGTGCCTCTGACACCCAGGCACCCGTGATGGGGATTGTCAAGTTTCTGAACTCTTTTTCTTTTTTTTAAGGTTTATTTATTTATTATGTATACAGTGTTCTGTCGGCATGTATGACTGCAGGACAGAAGAGGGCACCAGATCTCATTACAGATGGTTGTGAGCCACCACGTGGTTGCTGGGAATTGAACTCAGGACCTCTGGAAGAGCAGCCAGTGCTCCTAACCACTGAGCCATCTCTCCAGCCCCCCGTCTCTGAACTCTTTTACAGCTTCCCCGACCAGGAGGTGCGTCGGATGGCCGTGCAGTGGATCGGCTCTCTCTCGGACGCAGAGCTGCTGGACTACCTGCCCCAGCTCGTACAGGTGTGAGGACTCGGAGTTCCCATGCCCCGACTCTTGTCTTTCTACATCTGCCCTGGAAGCCACCGTCCCAGGGCCAGTAGTCAGGGTAGATCTCGGGTGGTTAATGAAGCCTCGTGTTTGCTTTCTTCTGAACAGGCCCTGAAGTACGAGTGCTACCTGGATAGCCCCTTGGTGCGCTTTCTCCTGAAGCGAGCCATCTCTGACCTGAGGGTGACCCACTACTTCTTCTGGTAAACTCACGTGCAGAAAGAAGGGAGGTAGGCGGGGTCTTTAGTGCAAGCACAGTTCCCCTGTGGCAGGTGGGCCTGAGGCGCTGAGAGACCGGGCTCCGGTATGTTTGCTGATCGACCCTGTGGCTTTGGTCTAGAGCACCTTCCTCAAGGAGGTCTTCATTCACCTCCATGTAACTCATGGAGTTTATATCCCCCTTTCCTATCCACCCATGGCAGAAGTATAAAGTCAAGATGAGCTATATATAGAAGGGTTGCAGCTCAAAGACAGGGGAGACATTCCAAGTCTCTTTCCCTCCGACGTGTGGGGTGGGCTTTGTGAGTTGAGGCAGAGTGTGACCCTGGCCTCCCTAGCTCGATGCTGTGGCTCCTGAGTGGCCTGACTCCCCGCTGGCCCTGCCTTGCAGGTTACTGAAGGATAGTCTCAAGGACTCTCAGTTCAGCATCCGCTACCAGTACCTGCTGGCGGCCTTGCTGTGCTGCTGTGGCAAGGGACTGAGGGAGGAGTTTAACCGCCAGTGCTGGCTGGTCAACACCCTGGCCAAACTGGCCCAGCAGGTCCGAGAGGCCACCCCCTCCGCACGCCAGGTAAGCAAGGCTGGCTCTCCTTGTCCCTGTTTCCAGCCGAGGCTTGTGTGACTAGGACGCTACTTCTCAGGCGTCCTGAGAGGCAGGATGGGAAGGGACTGTCTCCGATTTAGAAATTAGAAGGAGGTGGCTGTTACCTGCAGGCCATAAGCAGATGGTCCCCAAGCTGGCCACAGCTCACGAATGTGTTTTGCTTGGCTTGCAAAATATCATTAGGATTTTGACTTAGCTGTCTGCCTTAAAGGCAAGGCATGCTTGCGTATGCTGTCCTCTGCACAAGCTCAGTCAGTAGGTGAGGGCTAAGGTCTGTTCACCTTTTGCTGTGGGGAGCCATGGCTCGGGGCGGAGACGGGTGACAGAAAGGGACACCTTTATCTGTTTGTGTGAAGGCACTATGCCACACCAGTGGTGCTTCCGGTTTCTGACATTTAAAACTTATGAGATCATTGTAAGTCTGGATCTTGGGCTTCTCTTAGCAAAGCCCGGAAGGACTTAGCCCTTGTGGTACCACTTACCCTCATTCTATGCCTGCTTCTTCCCTTCTCCTGGCTGCCTTGCCTCTGTTGAAACTCAGCTGTGCTTCCTGAGCACTGAGCAAGTCTGGGACCCGAGCGGGCGGTGGTCCTTCTTCCCAAGAGTTTCTCAGAAGTTGTCCCTGTTACTCAGGCACAGGACTAGGCTCCTTCCTCTGGGAGATAGATGCTTGGCCCTCAGTGGAGCCTCTGGGCCTCTCACCTCATTCCTGCTCTTCCCCACTCCCTCTGAAGGGCATCCTTCGCACGGGCTTGGAGGAGGTGAGGCAGTTCTTTGCCCTCAACGGTTCATGCCGTCTGCCGCTTAGCCCCAGCCTGCTGGTGAAGGGCATTGTGCCCAGGGTGAGTCTCTGCTAGATGAAGAACTTCAAAGAATGGGGATCACTTGGGGGAGGTGAGGGCCTCCTTACTCTGTCTTAGGAGAGGAGGGTGGAGGGCAACCAGATGGCCTCTTCCCAGCTTGACTGTGTGTGGACTTGGCCGACTACTGTAACTGTGTGCAGGGCAGAAGAACTGGGTCAGCGGCTGGGTCTCCCTGGTGATGCTGAGGGTGGAGCTGGGGAAGGTGGGGAGGATGGCCGCTCTTAGCCTCACTGCCCAGCACGGGTCTGTTGGTTGGTTGTTTCGACCCATCCTCACAACTCTTAGGCATATGGTCCTCTTGTGGAAGTATAGGATGTGGGATTTACCAGACGTCACAAACTAGTAAGTTGTGTACAGAGCGAAGGGAGGAGGGTGGGGCAATCAGATGTTAGAGCCAGGGTTCTAGCAGCCGAAGCCAGGAAGAGGGAAGCAAGGAGAGGGATGTGGACTTTGGGTTCCTGGGAAATATGGAAGATGTCATGAGCATGTCCTGGGTGTGGACCACCCTGACATGAGTCACCGCCCTCCCACTGTACAGGACTGTTCCTACTTCAATTCCAATGCGGTCCCCCTGAAGCTCGCCTTCCAAAATGTGGATCCCCTAGGTGAGAACATCCGGGTCATCTTCAAGGTGAGGATGCTTCGCCCAGCAGGGTGTGAGGGCACAGGAGGGGATGGCCCTGGGACAAGCCTGGGCTATGTAGTGACTTCCAGGCCAGGCTGGGCTAGATATCGAGACACTGTTTCAAAAAACATAACAAGGCAAAAACCCTGTCTCGAAAAACCAAAATCAAACAAACAAGAAAAAAGGCGGCAAAACCAGTACTTTAGTCATGCCTAGCAGGGGTGAAAGCAGTGAGGAGAAGAGAATGTTCCAGACTGGCAGGAAAGGTCTGAACTGTTCCATTCTCCTGTCCTCTCCTCCCTTCTCCTCCTCCATCTTCCTTCTCTCCCTGTTGCTGGGGATTGAACTCAGGGCCGTGAGCATCCCAGGCAATGACTCTAACCACTGAGCCATATCTCTAGTTCACTCATGACTATCGGGTAAAAAGGGATTCTGATAAATGCTGCATGGCCCCAGAAGGCTGAGCAGTGTTAGGAGAAGCAGAGGCACTGGATAGCTCAGAATATGGGAACCCTTCCTCGGAGGCAGGGCCGCTCCCATAAAACGCCACGGGCAAGGCAATGCTCGGATTCTGGAAGAGGATGTGGCTGGCTGCTGGAGAGTTTATATGAGGTGCTGGTTACACTAGGTGAACCTCCTGTTTTTCCCGCTGACTGGCTCCTCCCTGGTGCTGAGAAAGAAACAAATGAGAGTCTCAGAGGATGTTCTGCAGAGGGGCAGGCAGCACGCACCTACCCGGGCCTCAGGAATAGAGCGTGTGCTCAGCATTCTAGAACCTTATAGCACAAGTTTGTAGTTAGTTTCTGATCTGGTAGAAATGTTCAAGTTTTTAAAAGGCCTGGTGAACCAGACATGGTGGTGTGTATCTGTCATCCAGTACTCACAGGCTGAGGCAGGAAGATTGCTGGTCAAAACCAGCCTGGGCTGCCCAGAGAGAACTTGTCTCAAACAAACAGGTCTAGTGATCAGAAGGGTTTCTTGCAGAAAAGGAACCATAATTCAGTTCAGATGGGGATGGAGCAGTGGGGGCGGGGAAGCACAGCAGGGGGGGCACTGCAGAGGTCAGCGTCACTGCTCCTGTTCCTCAGCCTCCTGAGGGCCAGATCAACAGGTGAGTGACAGAAAACCGGGGAACTGCCATCTCTCCCTGCTGCTGCAGTTTGGAATGCTGTGGGGTCTGGGAGCCTGGAGGAGGGAGTGGAAATGGATTTTAATCACCCCTCTTCCCTCTGCAGTGTGGGGATGACCTTCGCCAGGACATGCTCACCCTGCAGATGATTCGAATCATGAGCAAGATCTGGGTGCAGGAGGGGCTGGATATGCGCATGGTCATTTTCCGATGCTTCTCCACTGGCCGAGGGAGAGGTCAGTGGGGAGTCGGGCAGGGCACCCCCTTCCCTCACTGCCTGCTTTCCCAGCATGAACAGTGGAGAATAGAAGGGTAGGACTGTTCCATGAGAAGATGTGGGGTGACTTGAAAAAGAAAGCAAGGGAGAGACTGTTGGGAAACAAAACAGACCTGGAGGCATAGCAACCTCTGTGGACTTTGGATCTTGATCAAGCAAGCCAATTGTAGTTTTGAGATGGCTGTAGGAAAATTTGAAAATAGGCTGGCTTCAAAGGGCCACGGTTAAGTTTTTTTGGATGTGACAGGTACGTGGTTATTATGTCCTTGTTCATTATATTTAAAAAAATTTATTGCGCTGGGCGGTGGTGGCACACGCCTGTAATCCCAGCACTTGGGAGGCAGAGGCAGGCGGATCTCTGTGAGTTCGAGGCCAGCTTGGTCTACAAAGCAAGTTCCAGAACAGCTAGGACTGTTACACAGAGAAACCCTGTCTCAAAAAATATATAAATAAGTAAATAAATAAAAAAGTATCTATTGCATGAAGTGGTGTGTCTAAAGTAGAGTGTGGTAACAACACACCTATAATCCCAGCTCTCAGATGAGGCAGGAGGATCAGAAGTCCCAGGCCAGCTTGGGCTACAGAGGGAGACCCTCCAGCTGGAACAGCAGGAAGTAGGAAGCTAACTGGTTAATGGGAGATGAAATGAAATTAGCCAAAGTGTTGATGATTACTGAAGCTGGGTGATGGCTACATGAGAACTGATTAAAAGCCCTGTATATATTTTAAGAGTTTCATAGTAAAATCTGAAAAGAACAACAAGAAGCAACCTCATGACTTGGGGAAGCCTAGAGCCAGTCTAGACTGTGTGGTGTGGGCGTGGTCTTCTTACCATCCTCCATCATGGAATCCTCGTACTGGCAGACTTTGTCCAAAGGCTCCAGGGCTTTGCTTGTGGGAAGTGTCTAGTCCAGCGAAGATAGACGTCCTCACTCTGTCCTGAAGCCTGAGTCTGACCCCTTCTCTCTCAGGGATGGTGGAGATGATACCCAACGCTGAGACCCTGCGCAAGATCCAGGTAGAGCATGGGGTGACTGGTTCCTTCAAGGACCGTCCCCTGGCCGACTGGCTACAGAAACACAACCCTGGGGAGGATGAGTACGAAAAGGTAGGTGACTGTGGCTTATGGCTCCGCTACCACCAGACCCGCACGCACACAGAGTAGCCAGCTCAGCTTTGCTGAAGGATGTGCTCTTTGTGGACCGATGTAGCTAGAGATGGGTCAGATGACGGTTGTAAATTAACAGCGTCTTTTAGTATTTGTCAGATATCATTTTAACTAACCCAAGCCCCTTTTTTTGTGGGCATGAGTCAGGTGCCCCCCTTGCTCCAAGCAGTGGGGCTGGTATGCAAGACTGTAACTTGAAGCCAAGATTGAAGCTAGTGATGTGAGCAGAGGCCTGGCTGGCCCCTGACTAGAGGGAAGAAGGTGAGCTTCCAGGGAACGCAGAGCCTTGGTGGTCTGCTGTTACCCACGGCCAGGCCACAGCTTCATGACTGTAGTCTTTGGGTTAATGAAGTTTGGGGTGAGAGTAGAAAGGGGCAGGTTACAATAAAAATACCAGACTGTGGCACATACTTTTAATCCCAGCACTCAGGAGGCAGAGGCAGGTCGATACCTCTGAGTTCCAAGCCAGCCAGGGCTACATAGAGAGACTCTGTCTCAAAAACAAACCAAAATGCCAGAATGTTAATTCCTATAAGGCTTGCTTCTAGGGAATATAAATAGTAATTTATGTTGATCAATGCGTTTTATTCCGGAAGGAAGACGTGCAGGCATCCAAATTATAACCAGAATATGTCTGATGGGTGTGTGATTGGGTGGTCTTAAAGGGTCCTAGTAAGTCTGTGGTTCCCCAGGGTTTGTTTGTTTGTTTGTTTGTTTGGTTTTTCTTTTTTTTTTTTTTTTTCCGAGACAGGGTTTCTCTGTGTAGTTTTTTTTTTCTTTGGTTTTTCAAGACAGGGTTTCTCTGTGTAGCTTTGCGCCTTTCCTGGAACTCACTCTGTAGACCAGACTGGTCTCGAACTCACAGAGATCCGCCTGGCTCTGCCTCTTGAGTGCTTGCGCTGCCGCCCCCCCCCCCCCCCCCCCCCCCCCCGTTCCCAGGGTTTAATCCCTTAGCCCCCCTGTGCTCTCTAACACACTCTTGACTGACATGCCCTCTGTTATGCCCTCTTTCCCTACTCACTCACATACTGATGACTCCAAAGCCCTTCTTGTAGCCCCCTTTTCCCATGCAGCCTAAGCCTCTCCAGCCCTGGCCTGCTGGAGTCCTCTGCTGCATCTCTGATGTCATCAAACTCCGTGGAGGCAAAGCTTAGTCCCCGCCCCCAGCCCCCCCCCCCCCCAGCCCTACTCCCCTCTTGAGGCCTGCTTGTTTTGTGTTTCCCGTCAGAAAATGTAGGATGCTGCAGTCACCCACACCAGAGCCACCGGCTTCTTCATGGTCCCTCTGCCTGGTTTCAGGGACTTAAGTCCAGAGCCCTTCATGTCACAGCTGTGCTCGGGGTTTTTCAGAGGCTCCTCCCAGATGAATCCCACATCTCCATCCCTGCCTTTGTCATCCAGCCTGGCCCACCCCAGTCTCCTGCCCTGATCACTTAGGCTCCAGTGTAGGGGATCCGTGCTCGTGTTTAGCGCCTTTAGACGATGATACCCTTTGGCCTAGAAACTCATTCCCTCTTCCTCAGCCTCGAACGCTGCTCCTTCTACGTCATGCGACTCCACCTTGGAGAGGACTGTTGCTTCTTCTCTCCCTCCTCCAGACCCATGTGCTATTTCTGCTAACGTGGTTTTTCAGGTGTCGAAGGCCCGCATAACAAGTGCTGGGCTAGGTGTTGGATTGTCATCACTCCATGCCAATGTACTAGCAAGTCATAATAAATGTGGAAGTGTCTACAAGCAGGCACGTACCTGGAAGCTGACTCTCTCTTTTTTTTTTTTTTTTTTTTTTGGTTTTTCAGCAGGACCTCACTCTGTAGCATAGCTCAGACAGGCCTGAAACTCATAATCCTCCTGCCTCAGCTTCCTGAGTGCTGGGATTGTAGGGATGAGGCACGGTGCTAGTGGTTTCTTATGGTTATGCCTGGAAAAGAACGTGACTATACTCAGTAATCGACACCCATATTTCATCAGTGAGACCCTCAAGTTAGGAGGGGGACCCCAACTCAGGGAGGAGGTAGGGGGAGTGTAGTCATTACTGGTGGGCACCAGTACAGCTTTTTGTGATCCGCCAGAGGCCTCATCTAAGATAGAAAGAATACCTATGACAGGGAGGGGCAGGTTAATGGAGATGTTAAGCCAAAACTGGGATTGGATGGGCTATGTTCCTTACCAAGGGGTTTCTTTTCATTCATAGATTTTTGCTTTCTAAGAAATGGTCTTTCCATTACAGAAGTTGAATTCTGTGATATCTGTTTTGAGAGTCACCACGTAGCTCTGGCTGGCCTGGAACTCATTATGTAGACCAAGTCAGCCTAAAACTCACAGAGACCTACTACCTCTGCCTCCCAAGTGCCTCCACACCTGGTCCCCTCCTCCTTTTTTTGTGTGTGTGTGTGTGCGTGAACATGAGTGGGGTAAGTGCACACGCCCATGGGTGTGTATGCTAAGGCCAAAGCAAGACACCAAGTGTCTTTCTCTGTCACTCCGTACTTTACTGTCTTTAGGTAGGGTCTGTTGAGGAAGGAACTGGAAGCTTGCTTTTTGGGGAGGTTGGCTAGTGAGCGCTCAGCCTGTCTGTGCCCCATCCCATTGGGGTTACAGGCACGCACTGCCATACCTAGCTTTTTACATTGGTCCTGGGGATTCCAACTCAAGTCCTCATGCTTTCAGCACAAGTGCTCCTACCTCAGCCCCTCCCATCCCTTGAGCCCCAAAATATCTCCAACACATTTTACCAAATAGAGATGTCTGATTTTCAAGTGCAAAACAGTGCAGTAAGTGTGAAGCTGTCTCAGCTCTTCTTTGCAGCGCAGGGTTTTAATTAGGGAAGCATCTAGCTGGTCCCAAACGCTAAGGGAATGGAGTGTTATTTGGGGCAGGAAGAAGGGTCATGTACCAGGCTTTTTCTTTGGGGCCACCAGCCAGCTCCCAAATCATGACACAGAGACTTAGTTTTGAATGCCCAGCCTAGTTTAAGCATGTTTCTGACTAGCTCTTTTAACTTAAAGTAACCTGTTTCTCGTTATCTATCTTTTGCCTCAGGGCTTATTACCTTTCTTCCTTCTGTATATTTTATTTCACTGCTTCTCTGTGTCCAGCTGGCATCTGCCTGGCATCTTGCCCTGGGCACGTCATTTCCATCTCCTTCTCCTTGAGCCTAGATTTCTCCTCCTATGTATTCTCTCTGCCTGGCAGCCCTGCCTAGCTCTTGGTTGTTCAGCTCTTTAATAGACCAATCAGGTGCCTTAGGCAGGCAAGGGGAAAGACATGCAACACATCTTTACATCATTGAACACACATCCTTACATTGTTAAACAAATGCAGCAGAAACAAATGTAACACATCTTTGCCTAGTTAAAACAAGATTCTACAACAGGGTCAGGTGCCCTGAGTTCTGATAGTCAGCAGCCACTCTTGAGTCGGGGTTATCACGGCCTGCTGGAAAAGTTTTAAGCATCAGCCTTTCTGTCCACTAAGGTCTCCCAATCTGAACTGCACATGCCCACTGTCTTACCAGCCAAAAAAACCAAATTCAGATGAAGGGTGTATATATAGACATATAAACCTTCCATGTCCTACTTCAAATACATGGACGATGGAAGGTGTTTCTTTGTGCATAAGCCTGTGCTTTGGTATAGGATGAGGATGAGCAGGCAGGTGCTGGGTGCTGCTGGAGTTCACATGAGAAAGGTCAGAGCTGGCCGTGGCCCCACCTCCTGCCTCCACTCTGCACAGGCTGTGGAGAACTTCATCTACTCCTGCGCTGGCTGCTGTGTGGCTACCTACATCTTGGGCATCTGTGACAGACACAATGACAATATCATGCTGAAGACCACTGGGCACATGTTCCATATAGATTTCGGCCGCTTCCTGGGCCATGCGCAGATGTTTGGCAATATCAAGAGGTAAGTGGCCCCCTGTGTGAAAGGCAAGAGTGGTTCAGAGCTGGGGTGAAATACTGTGATCGAAAGCAGCTGGGCCTCAGAGCACTGACCCTGGGCAAGCCGCTCTGAAGAAGAGAAGACTGATAAGGAGCTCAAGTTCATGCAGAGCCTTGTGGAAGGTGAGGATCGGCTGATCCCATGATGAGGGGCTGAGGACTGAGCAAAGGGACAGGTACCTGAGCTTCAGCAGGGACCCCAGTTAGGTAGCTGGGAGAAAGCATCACTAGTTCCCTGGTTAGAACACACGATGAGGGGTGAAGGAAAGCAGACCCTGGTGACGTTCCTGGTGACGTTTACAAGGTGACCCCCCCCCTTCTCCATATTGACCTTCTCCCTGTATGTTCCCTTGGCTCAGGGACCGCGCCCCCTTTGTCTTCACCTCGGACATGGCGTATGTCATCAACGGGGGTGACAAGCCTTCCAGCCGCTTCCATGATTTTGTTGACCTTTGCTGCCAAGCCTACAACCTCATTCGCAAGCACACCCACCTCTTCCTCAACCTTCTGGGCCTGGTGAGGAGCTCATCTCTTTATGACCCTCCTTATTACCTGGCTCCATCTTTAACACTGCCCGGGATTTTTCCAGAGGGTTCATAGAGACCCACGTCTCTCAGTTGTGCTCCCTGTCTTCCCTAAAGGCAGGGACCCAAACTACTAGGAACAGTGATGCCTGACCCCGCACTTAGCCTCTCAGTTCCAGTGGCCCTCTAACCCCTGCCCACAGCATCTGCCTATAACCCCAAAAGATCACGGAGCCTAGTACAGGAAACCTTGCCTCAGGGTAGAGAGCAAGCCCTCCTTTCTTCTTCTAGATGTTGTCCTGTGGCATCCCTGAGCTCTCCGACCTGGAGGACCTCAAGTATGTGTATGATGCTCTGAGGCCTCAGGACACAGAGGCCAATGCCACCACCTACTTCACAAGGTAACACAGTACTGCCCACCCAAGTGGTTCGCGGGCTGCTGAGTTGGCAGGAGCAGGCTGGGCAGTGGGAAAGGCTTAGTCCAAATGGCAGGGCCAGGACTTGGATCTCCTGTCCCAGTTTTGCCTTGGGAATCATTTTGTTCCTGTTTACATTCTGGGGCTAATATGTATAAGTAGGGCTATTAGCATCTCTCTCCTCCTCCTCTTCCTCCTCTTTCTCCTTTCCTCCTTCCCTTCCTCCTCCTTCCCCTCCTCCTCCCCCTAGCCCCCCCCTCCTCCTTCTCTTCCTTCTGCCTACTTCTGCCTCCCAGCTGCTGGGATTAAAGGTGTGCTCCACCACTGCCTGGCTCTTATCTGGGTTCCTACCGATCCCAATCAGAGACTTTGTCTAGGAGGCAGTGTAGAAGCTGGATTTCATAATAGGTTTTATTTATTCATTTATTGTTTTTCAAGACAGCGTCTTTCTGTGTAGCCCTGGCTGTCTTAGAATTTCTTCTGTAGATCAGGCTAGCCTTGAAGGAGCTCAAAGATCCACCTGCCTCTGCTGGAATCGCACCCAGTTTATGATATTTTTTAGCTCTTTCAGTCAGACCCTTCCCCTTTCAGGAGACCTCACTTAGAAGTTAGTCTCTTTGAGCAGGGCCTGGTGTGGTCCTGGGATTCCATTTGATAGTACTATTTAGACATTTGCTGTCCCAAGTTCCCTCCTACCTTGTTTTGAGTGTCTTTGGCAGGAGGAATAAGAACTCAGGATTCACAAACGCAAACTGCATGACATAATTGTGTCAATCATGTGCTCCATGAGACTATTACATTGGGAACGTAATTTGATCTGGTGGTTAATTTCAGGACTCAGGGCTGGGCATGGTAGCCCACACCCGTAATCCTAGTACTTGGGAAGCTGAGACAGGAGGATCACCATGAATTTGAGGGCAGCCTGGGCTACATAGTGAGATCCTGTCTACCTCCATCCCCCCATCCCTTCACCCCCAAATCTCAGGACTTTGGGAATATCTGTTTAGATAGTTGTCAAGGCGGAGGGAGGTTGGGTCCGTGGTTACATCCTTTGTTTCCCATCCTGCACAAACAGGTTGATAGAGTCCAGCCTGGGCAGCGTAGCCACGAAACTCAACTTTTTCATCCATAACCTGGCTCAGATGAAGTTCACGGGCTCAGATGACCGGCTGACCCTTTCCTTTGCGCCCCGAACACACACGCTCAAGAGCTCTGGCCGCATCAGTGATGTTTTTCTCTGCCGGCACGAGAAGGTCTTCCACCCCAGCAAGGGCTATGTGAGTGTTCGCCCCTCCGACGCTCTGTTGCTTCTTGTCCACCCATCTTCTTGGGGTTAACTCTTCCTTCACACCTGCGCAGTGGGCCCTGGAGTTTACCAAGGCTCTTGCACCGGGAATGATCCCAGACAGAGCAGTTCCCTCCATTAAGTGATCTGCATAGGTTCGGGCAGCTGAACTGGTTTGTAATTCTGTGAGACACATGTCCTGTGAGACACAGGCAGGAGGTCTCTGCTTTCAAGTTCCGGCCTGTATGCAGCCCACCCTCTTTTCTCCCCTGGAGGCTCTTCTGAGACCCTTTTCCTTCTGGAAAGCACCACGCACACACACTCACACAGGCGCACGTGCACGTCTGCTCCCCTGTCCCCTCTAGGAGGCAGGTGGTCAGGCAGGCGGACTCTGGGTTTTGGCCTTTGCAGATATATGTGGTGAAGGTTATGAGAGAGAACGCTCATGAGGCAACTTACATCCAGAGGACGTTCGAGGAGTTCCAGGAACTGCACAATAAGCTGCGCCTGCTCTTCCCTTCTTCCTTCCTGCCCAGGTAGCGCCCCCCCTCCACCCCACCCCCCTGCGCGTGCCCCCATCCTCTTGAGCTCAAAGATACGGGGAGGGAGGAAGGATGGAGCTAGCAGGCAGGCTGTTTCAGAAAGGACTCCTTGAAACGGAGGCTCTCGACCTGCTTTAGTCTGCCAGGTAGTGGGTTTGGTGACAAGTGCGCCCCCTGCTGGCTGTAATTGCCAGCCCGCCCAACAGCCTTGCGGAAAAACAAAACAAAACAAAACATAACACAGAGGCACCAGCCAAAAAGCAAGCCAGCTGAGCTGAAAGCAGGGGCACTGGGTGAATCTGAACATGACTCAAAGTTTATAACTTATCAAAGAATTACCCCTTTTTTCCTAATGGATAAAGTGTGACACACACACATTCAGCCTTGAAAGGGACCTTTGACACCTACGTCACAGATGAGCCTAAACGAAACAGGCCAGTCACGAGAAGATAAAAAGCTCTGTGGCCCTACTTATCGGAGCCCCCTAGAGCAGTCAGAGCCCTGGGGACTGAATGCAGAATCGGTGGTTGAGATCTAACGGGTGTGATGCTTTAGTTCTGCAAGATGAAAGGAGTTCTGGACCTGGCTTCTGGGGACATTCATGTAGCATTGTGAATGTCCTCAATGCCACAGAACCGTACCTAGAAGTCTTTAATAATGCTTGATGATTAAAATGCTGGAATTGTCTGGGGTCCCAGGAAGAGAGAGAGAGACAGAGACAGACAGAGAGTAAGAGAGACAGAGTAAGAGAGAGACAGAAACAGACTAACCCACAGACGTGAGCACAGACTGGGAAGTCTGGTAGGAGTCAGGGAGGCAAGGATCCCCCAGAAGAGAAGCAGCTTGGAATTGAGGATCAGGTAAATAGAAATGCAAAGGAAATATCTAAAATCTTCATACTCACTCCCCCTCTGTCCCTGTGTCCCTCGTCTTCCTGTCCGTCCAGCTTCCCTAGCCGCTTTGTGATTGGCCGCTCCCGGGGAGAGGCGGTGGCTGAGCGGCGGAGGGAGGAGCTAAACGGTTACATCTGGCACTTGATCCACGCAGCTCCGGAGGTGGCTGAGGTGAGTGCCTGGGTGTCGGATGTGAAAGGAGGGGCCTGAGTCGTGGGGAGGTCATTCGGTCTGTCTGCCTGGTGAATGACCAGTGCCGGCTTTGATGAGGATTAGAGAGCACAGGTCCATGGTGGATCAAGCCTCGGGCCCAGGTCTTTTCATTTCCTGTGTTTATTAGAAACACTCTTCCAGAGAAAGGCTTGTGTTTCAGCCCCAGGCTAACTCCGTCATGTCTCCCCAAGCTGGTGTGTTGATAGGGGAATAGAGAAGACGGAGTAGACAGGTGGTGGCGCACGCCTTTAATCCCAGCACTCAGGGAGGCAGAGGCAGGTGGATTTCTGTGAGTTCGAGGCCAGCCTGGGTTACAGAGTGAGTTCCAGGACAACCAGGGCTACACAGAGAAACCCTGTCTCGAAAAAACAAAACAAAGAAAAGAAGTCAGGAGTAGTGTAGGCTGCTTTCGACCTGAAGTGGCTTGTTTTGTTGTTTTGTTTTTTATTATTTTTGTCCATTTTGATTTTTGAGATGTGGTCAAAATTTTGCAGACCAGGTTATCCTTGAACTTGTAACGGTCTTCTTCCTTTTGTTTCTTGATTGCTGAGATTATAGGAATTTGTTCCCCAACCCACCCAACTATTGACTTTTTTTTTCTTAAAAAACAAACAGTGTGTGTGTGTGTGTGTGTGTGTGTGTGTGTGTCTGTCTGTCTGTCTGTGTCTATGTCTAAATAAAATTAGCCCTTCCTGGGTCATGTCTTACTGGAGTGGCCCTGTTTTCTGGTCTGTTCCAGTGTGATCTGGTATATACCTTCTTCCACCCCCTTCCCCGGGATGAGAAGGCTTCAGGCATGAGCCCAGCTCCGAAGTCCTCAGGTACGGTACCTTCCTGGTGGCAGTCCCCCCAAAACACATCCCCACCTCTTTGTCAACTTTCTTTCCTGTTCAGTTGCTTGCTTTCTGGGGACTCTGGTTTTCCTTTAGGGCTGTGGTGTCCACAGCTCTATGGCTGAGTTCCCTAGGGATGGATATTTATTCAGCGATAACCCCTCTCAGATTGGGTACATTCATCCCAACCCACCTCTACGTTGCATTCCAGACCCACGTGAGTATCAGAAACCAGACAGGCTGGGGCAGGAGTTCAGGAAGAAAGTAAAAAGTCTGCCTGGCACCAGTCAGGGGCACTTCTGGCCTACGGATCTTTCTCAGCTTCCCTTTTCCCTGCAGATGGGACATGGGCCCGGCCTGTTGGGAAGGTCGGTGGGGAGGTGAAGCTGTCGATTTCCTATAAGAACAACAAGCTCTTCATCATGGTGATGCATATTCGGGGCTTGGTAAGTGCAGGCACAGCCCTCGCTGGGTCCCTCATCTTTCTGCTGGTAGTTTTTTGGGCGAGTCAGTTCTCTGCTCCCGGATAATGAGAGTAACCACAGATGTTTACTGAGCCTCCGCCACAGGCTGCCCATGCCAGGCCTGCGGTTGACCAGGCGATTCAAGACACAGCTGCTTGCTTGCTGTGGTCTGTGCGGCTGTATCCTGAGCACTGTGAGCCTCTTTATAAAGTGATGTTGGTGCCTCTCTTCAGGGGTTGCTGTGGGGATGGAGTGAGATAATCCATGGGATGCACTTGCCTTTCTGAGTAGTACTGTTGTTATGGTAATTATGGTTTTATAAAAGAGAGGTCCAGGGGGCTTGCTACCTGGTTATAGTAATAGATAAATATAGATAGGTGAGTCTAGACAGGGCAGCCACTGGACTTCCTTCAGGCATATTCAAGGCAGTATATAATTAATTTTGGCACAGGTTCTAAGGACATCATGAATGGGGAAGGAACTTTTGTTGAACATTTACAATGCCCAGCATCCAATATTGCTTTTTTTGAAGACTGGAGCATCAAGTCATAGCAGAAGTGTGTACTTTGGAGTCAAAGAAACGTTGGTTTTGTGTTCACACTGGGTTATCACTCACTCATTCGTTCAACAAATGTTATCTGGTGCCTACTAATACATTAGCTCTTGATGCAGGAGAAGTCAGAACACCGCTGTGCCGCAGGGTGCTTACAGTCCACTTAGAAAGGACAGACTATAGAATAGATAGAGAGAATAAATGGTGTGCCAGTGGGTTGAGAACTGTACAAGAAATAAAGCAGACCAGGAGTCCCAGGGGGAAGAGGAGGCCTCAGTGATAAGATCTGTACAAAGACCTAAGGAAGGGAGGGAGGAAGCCCCTTGTGTAAATCTGAGAGAGGATTGATTGCTTCAGACCTGTGGCGCAGTTAGGTCTAAAAGCCCAGACTCAGGAGAAAGCCTGTGTGTGTGCTAGTTCCCATTGGCTGCGGCCCAGGGTGAACGGCGAAGGAACCAGTGGGCGCATAGTAAGGCTCTGGCTTCAGTCCTGATAGAAATCCTTAGAGGTCTTTGGGTAGATGTGCTGTGTTCTGACTTAAGTGTCAGGTTTTTTAATTTACTTATTAATTTTTGTGAGACAGGCTTTCAATCCAGTCCAGACTAGCCCGGAACTGGAACTCCATGTAGCCCATCTGGCCTTGACCACAAGGCAGTCCTCCTGACTCAGCCTTCCAAGTACTAGGGTTTCAGTCATGAAATGTTACTCTCAGCTTTGACTTAAGGATGAGTTTGGAGACTGTGGGTTGGACCCAGGCTCTAAAAACAAACAAAAACTAGAACAGAGTCAACCTGAGTGAATCAGTAGTCCGTGGACCTTGAGCAAGCAACCTCTTCTCTCTGCTCATACATACCTCTACCTGTTAGGGCTTAAAAGGGACCAAATGACAAAATAGCATGGAGAGGACATGCCTGGGGAGAGCTGATGGTTCACTTAAACTCTATTACAAGCCAGGCCTAGTGATGCATTCCTTTGATCTCAGCACTCAGGAGGCAGAGACAGGTAGATGGATCTCTGTGAGTTCAGCCTGGTCTATATAGTGAGCTCCAGGACAGCCAGGGCTATGTAGAGAGATCCTGTCTCAGAAAACTAAAACTGAAAAATTACACACACACACACACACACACACACACACACACACACACACACACACACGTGCGTGCGCGCATTTTTGTTTGTTTTTTTGCTTTTTGAGACAGGGTTTCTCTGTGTAGCTTTGAAGTCTGTTCTGGAAATCACTCTGTAGACCAGGCTGGCCTTGAACTCACAGCGATCCACCTGCCTCTGTCTCCCCAGTGCTGGGATTAAAGGTGTGCGCCACCACTGCCCAGCTCATGTATATATTTTTTAACATAATCATGGTAGATCTTTTTATGAGCATATATGTGTATGCATATATGTATATATTTTTAATGTAATCATGGTAGATCTTTTTATCAGCGTGTAATGAGCTGGAAAGCAGACGAAAAGATTAAGTATGCACTACAAAAGGCCAGCGGGCGAATGAGAGAGACTCTAGATCAGAGTGTGGCTTCAGGGATGACTAGAAAGTGGAAGAGACTGTGGGATCTTCATCTTCAGTTTCATTCCATTTAGCAGCCGCTGCAGGATGGGAACGACCCTGACCCCTATGTAAAGATTTACCTCCTTCCTGACCCTCAGAAGACCACAAAGAGGAAAACCAAAGTGGCCCGGAAAACCTGCAATCCTACCTACAATGAGATGGTGTGTGGAAACGGGGGGAGGGGGGTGCAGGGCAGCACGGGGGTTGGCAGACCACTTCTTGCTTGTTTGTTTGTTTTTTTGTTTTTTCGAGACAGGGTTTCTCTGTGTAGTTTTGGTGCCTATCCTGGATCTCACTCTGTAGACCAGGCTGGCCTTGAACTCACAGAGATCTGCCTGCCTCTGCCTCCTGAGTGCTGGGATTAAAGGCGTGCGCCACCACTGCTGGATGGCAAACCACTTCTTTAATTATTTATTTTGGTTTTTTTGGGACTCAGACTCTATATGTAACTGAGGCTGGCCTTGAATTCCTGATTCTCCTGCCTCTGCCTCCTGAGGGCTGGGATTCTAGGCATGCGCCACACAACACCCGGCAACAAACTGTTCTTAAAAAAAAAAAAAAAAGATTTACTTATTATGTATACAGTGTTCTGTCTGCATGCATGTGTGCCTGCAGACCAGTAGAGGGCGCCAGATCTCATTACAGATGGTTGTGAGCCACCATATGGGTGCTGGGAATTGAACTCAGGACCTCTGGAAGAGCAGCCAGGGCTCTTAACCTCCAAGCCATCTCTCCAGCTGTCTATTCTTATAAGTTATTTGTATTGGAGCGAGTCACGCTTGCTGATTTAGGTGCCGTGGCTACTTTTCTGTTCAGTGGTGGCCTTGAGCATTTTGGTATGGACTGTACTTTTTTAATATTGGTTTTATTTATGTGGAAATGTGCCAATGGTTGACAGAAGATCCAGTTACGGGTAGAGCTGGAGTTACAGGTAGTTTTGAGCCTCCAGACAGCAAACACTTTTTTTTCTTTTTTTAAAATGTGCATTGGTGTTTGGCCTGCATGTATGTCTGCATGAGGGTATTGGTATTGGGTCCACTGGAACTTGAGTTCTAGACAGTTGTGAGCTGTCATGTGGGTGCTGGATTTTTTTTTTTTTTTTAGATTTATTATTATGTACACTGTGTTCTATCTGCATGTATGCCTGCCCGCCAGAAGAGGGCACCAGATCTCATTACAGATGGTTGTGAGCCACCATGTGGTTGCCTGGAACTGAACTCAGGAGCTCTGGAAGAACAGCCAGTGCTCTTAACCTCTGAGCCATCTCTCCAGCCCATGGTGCTGGGTTGTTTGTTTGTTGTTTGTTTGTTTGTTGAGACAGAGTTTCTCTACATAACAGCTCTGGCTGTCCTGAAACTTGCTTCATAGACCAGGCTGGGCTCAAACTCACAGAGATCCGCCTGCCTCTGCCTCCCAAGTGCTGGGATTAGAGGTGCACAGCACACCACCATGTCGGGCAACAACCACTGCTCCTTTCTTTTTTCTTTCTTTCTTTTTTTTTTTTTTTAATGCCGAATGCTGTTTATTGAAGGAGGGAAGAGGTCTTAAATACAGGCTTACAGCACAATGGGAGAACCCCGGAGGGCAGAAGTTCGCTATAGATGTTTTACAATCTTGCATCTAAGCTGTTAACACCATTATGCAGGATACACAGACAAGGAACTTCCCTTAAGCATTCAGGAGGGTGGAACCCGGCAGGGAATTAGCATAGGGAGGATATCAAGGTCAAGGTCAGCAAGCAAGGCAACAGTTACCCAAAACGGGGGCCAGGGCCCTACAGGTCCCCCTTTTACTAAAAAATGAGCTTCTGACTTACAACCACTGCTCTTAACTGCTGAGCCATCTCTCTCTCCAGCCTGACAGCAAGCACTCTCAACCAGGGGACTTGGGTCACCTTGAGGAGAGGAGCCTGCTGGCCCTGTGTGGAGGATGACCAGAGGCTCCAATAAACATAATCCCAGCCTTCGGGCGGCAGAGGCAGGATTGCTGTGAGCACCAGGCCACACCTATCTTAAAGAAACAACTCCAGGGCTGGAGAGATGGCTTAGTGGTTACGAGCACTGGCCGCTCTTGCAGAGGTCCTAAATTCCCAGCAACCACATGATTGCTCACAACCATCTCTAGTGGGATCTGATGCCCTCTCCTGGCATTAAGGCGTACATGAAGATAGAGCACTCAATCATGAAATAAATAAATAAATAAATCTTTTTAAAAAAAAAAAAGAAAAGAAAAGACCCCAGGGACTGGTCATCTCTTCTGAGTTCCCCGTGGACTTGGCCCTGCCCTGTCTCACAGCTCCTCTCTCTTCCCAATGCCCACGTTTGCAGTTGGTGTATGATGGGATCCCCAAGGGAGACCTGCAGCAGCGGGAGCTCCAGCTGAGCGTGCTGAGTGAACAAGGATTTTGGGAGAACGTGCTCCTTGGGGAGGTACACATCCGCCTTCGGGAGCTGGACCTGGCCCAGGAGAAGACCGGCTGGTTCGCACTGGGATCTCGAGGGCACGGAACCTCATGAGCCCAGTCACGGCCCAGACCTGCAGCTGCTGCCCAGAGCTGGAGGAGAAGCCTCTCCCCTGCCTGCCTGACTCCTTTGCTAGGAAGAGGCAGAGCCCTTGGCGACCTTTCCCACGGTCCAGGTGGACCTGACCTCGGGGAGGGGCTGGAAGAGTCCAGCGCTCTCCGCTGCCCCTTCCTCAGCAGACTGCGCTTGGGTTGATTGTGGGGGACAGCCCCCTTGGAAGCTGTGGGGTTGCAGCAGAGTTTTAAGTTTACCTTGTGTCAAGGGAGCAATGCCTGCTTTGGGGTGTGTGGAGTGCAGGCCGTATGAAGTAGCACTTGGGGGAGGGTGGGTGGACATTTTTATTTTTATTTTTAAAAAATGAAATAGTAATGTTGTCCTAACTGGGACAGGAAGCTTTGTGAGAGAGAGGCATACTGTGCCTCAGAAGGCAAATGAGGACTATTTGGGGTTTTTTGTATGATGAAAGTTCTTATTGGACTTTTCCCCAGGATTTTTGGGGTTTTGTTTTCTAGCTATAGGAAATGTTGGGGAGGGGCCCCCGGTAGGTCCTCAGTGAAGCCCTCCCCTCTCAGGCGCACTGGGGAAGGGTGGGGAGGACTCACTGGCTGCTGGGCTGAGGCCCTCTTCGGGCCGTCCGATTCTGCCTCCAAAGGAGAGCAACGTGATACCTATGTGTGTAAGGAAGGGCCTTCCATGTCAGGGGTCCGCCAAGGACCTATATTCAGGGACCCACGCTCTTTTAGGGCAAAGTTTTTCCTCTCTTCTCCCCCTGCTGGTCGGATTTGACTCTTAACGCTTTCTTCTGCCCCTCCCCCCTCTGATCTCTCAGCCCTCCGTGGGTCCCGGTGAACACACTGGGTGCTTCTATGCCCCATCTTGTTTGATGGGACAAAATGCTGCCAACCCTTAGCTCTGGGCCACTTGCTGCACAGTTTCTGGAATACGTTCCCTGAGACCCTCTACTACTTTCTCTCCCAAACCCTGCTTCTGTCACACTTCCAAAGGAATTTCATTCTGTAGGGCCACAAAGCTGTTTAGTGTGTAGACAAAGGGTACCCAGGCTGTAGCCAAGGAGGCTGGAGAGAGTGGAGATCGGTCAAGGCGATTGTTTCTTCCAGTTATCTTCCTGGCCAGAAGGAGGCTGCACTGGAGCACATACTCTTTAGAAAACAAACAAAAGATTCTTTCAACACATGTCTTTCTTCTGTGGTGCTAGGGGTCAACCCAGGGTCCTTTGAGTGCTAGGCAAGCACTCTACCACCATGCTGCATCCCCAGCCCACCTCATACTCCCTGTTCCTCACCAGATGAATTTAAAATCCACTCGAGTTTCTCTCCAAAGAGTTGTCTTATTTAAAAAGTGAGGGATAGGGACTTGATTTAACTTTTTTGTTTCTTGAGACAGGGTCTCGCTATGTAGACTAGGCTGGCCTCGAACTCATAGAGATCTGCCTACCTCTGCCTCTGTAGGGCTGGAATTAAAGGCAATTAACTTTTGGTTTTTTTGAGACAGGCGGTTTCTCTGTGTAGCTTTGGAACCTATTCTGGAACTCGCTCTGTAGACCAGGCTGGCCTCGAACTTACAGAGATCCACCTGCCTCTGCCTCCCGAGTGCTGGGATTAAAGGCATGTGCCACCGCCACCCAGCAGGCAATTAACTTTTTAAAGCAGGAGTTAGCTGATGAGGGAAAAGGATTAGCAAGGACACCATAAACAGTTTCTCTGTGACCCCACTACTGGAGAGAGAAAAGCTCCGTTCATTGAAGCCAAATGGAAGCAAGGAAGGTTTCATTTTGCTTGTGTTTTTGTTTATGGGTGAGGATATCATATAGCCCAGGTTGGCCTCATACTCCTATGTAGATGAGGATAACCTTGACCTACTTGCCTTCAACCGCCCAGGTGCTAAGATTACAGTCATGAGCCGCCACATCTATTCACTTTTTTCTTTATTAAATGCCGGGCCAGGGCTGGAGAGATGGCTCAGTGGTTAAGCACACCGACTACTCTTCCAGAGGTCCTGAGTTCAATTCCCAGCAACCACATGGTGGCTCACAACCACTTGTAATGAGATCTGGTGCCCTCTTCTGGCCTGCAGGGACACATGCAGGCGTACTGTATACATAATAAATAAATAAATGTTTAAAAAAAAAATGCCAGGCCAGTGAGATGGCTGAGTGGGTAAGGGCACTTGCCCTGTCAGCTGGAGTCTGATCACTGAGACCTTCAAGAGGGCCGGAGCAAACCAACTTCCACACGTTGTTCTTTGGCTTCCACATACATTACACATCATATGCGCACTCGCACACACACACACACACACACACACACACACACACACACAAATATAATTTTAAAATGCCAAGGATAAAGCGGACTGCTAAAGGCCAGAGACTGGAGAGGGAAAGCAGTGGAACCTTCCGGATGTTTGGACCATAGGTGAGCTACTGTAGCTCATTTTATTTTGACCCTTTGTGCCCCTGACTTAAAGAGGCCTATGTACTGTACCCACTTCCCACGTCCCTTGTATCTTCTACTTTCTCTGGAGTTGTATTTTCTAATAAATGACATTTGAGAAAACAAAGCTACCATCATTAAAGATCGGTTGATGTGAGTGTTTGGATAAGCATCCGATGCGTGTTTATGTGCCCTGGTGCACGACATGGACATCTTTACAGTTGTCAGCTGCTTGTAATCAGAGTTTGAGGGCAGAAGCCCTGCTTCAGCAGACCTAATGGGTTAGGCTCAGCCACTGTTCCAGCATGCCAATTAAAGGAATAGACAGTAGTGATGAAAAGCAGAGAGGTATTCAGTGTGGCCACATTGGGAAGGGTATAAAGGGGTCCTGTGATACCCCCCACAAAGTTTATTTTCAGGGTACTGACATGACCTCTAGGTCAAAATAAAGGAGGAACTGGGGGGGGGGTGCAGAAGGTAGGCATAGTTAGACTGTCCCAGTCAAGGTGTGATCCCACCTCTTAGGGTCTCAGCTGGAGTCTTTAAGGCACTCCAATAAATCGTTGTTATATATTGCTCCTACTGTCCAGACATGATTCCTCCAAGATGCTCCTGGTACAGTGTTTCCATCATTGACAATGGACATCATCATTGACAATTTCCATCATCTTGGGGAGTTCCAGGCTAGCCTTGACTCCAAGTTCTGAAAGGAAAATTTAAAAAACTCAACAAGAGTAAATAGTTAAAGAAAAACTAGTTTGAAAATGCTTGTTTGAGTCATTCTCTATGAGTTTGTGAATTCATTAGAGAGGGATCAAAACTAAATAACAAAAGACTTAGAACAGCCACAGAAGTTGGCAGAAAATTTGACCATGCAGTGTAAATTTCCATTGCATATACATTTTAGGTTAATGATTATGATTGACAGCATGTCAGGATCATCAAGCTGTCCTTTCTTCTCAAGAATACATTTATTTACATGTTTTGTTTGTTTTAAAACATGGCAGGGCAGTGGTGACATATGACTTTAATTCCAGCAGAGGCAGGCAGATCTCTGATTTCCAGGACAGCCTGGGCTACACAGATAAACCCTGTCTCAAAAAACCAAAACAAACAAAAAAAGATACCGCATGGTGACAGATATGGTTCTATTTGTAATCTTTTACATAATGACATCCAGTTATGCCAGCACCATTTGTTGAAGAAACTTTCTTTTTTCCATTGTATAGTTTTGGCTTCTTTGTAAAAAATCAGGTGTTCATATGTGCATGGATTAATGTCAGGGTCTTCAATTCGATTCCATTGGTCTGTGTGTTGGTTTTTATACCAGTACCAAGCTGTTTTTATTACTATAGCTCTATAGTAGAGCTTGATGTTAGGGATATAAATCTTTTTTTTTCACCATGCACAAAACTCAAGTCCAAGTGAATCAAAGACCTCAACATAAATCCAGTTACACTAAACTTAATAGAAGAGAAAGTAGGAAGTACTTTTGAACACATTGGCACAGGAGATCACTTCCTAAATATAACACCAGCAGCACAGACACTGAGCACAACAATTAATAAATGGGACCTCTTGAAACTGAGAAGCTTTTGTAGGGCAAAAGACATGGTCAATAAGACCAAAAGACAGTCTACAGAATGGGAAAAGACCTTCACCAACCCCACATCTGACAGAGGACTGATCTCCAAAGTATATAAAGAACTCAAGAAACTAGACATCAAAATACTGAACAATCCAATTAAAAAGTGGGCTAAAGAGCTAAACAGAGAATTCCCAAAAGAAGAATCACAAATGGCTGAAAGACATTTAAAGAAATGTTCAACATCCTTAATCATCAGAGAAATGCAAATCAAAACGACTCTGAGATACCACCTTATACCTGTCAGAATGGCTAAGATCAAAAACACTAATGACAGTCTATGTTGGAGAGGATGCGGAGCAAGGGGAACACACCTCCACTGTTGGTGGGAGTGCAAACTTGTACAACCACTGTGGAAATCAGTATGGCGGTTTCTCAAAAAATTGGGAATGGATCTATGTCAAGACCCAGCCATACCACTCTTGGGCATATACCCAAGGAATGCTCAATCATACCACAAAGATACATGTTCAACTATGTTCATAGCAGCACTATTTGTTATAGCCAGAACCTGGAAACAACCTAGATGCCCGTCAACTGAAGAATGGATTAAGAAAATGTGGTACATATACACAATGGAGTACTTACTACTCAGCAGAGAAAAACAATGGCAGCATGAAATTTGCAGGCAAATGGATGGAACTAGAAAGTATCATCTGAGTAAGGTAACCCAAACCCGGAAGGACAAACATGGTATGTACTCACTCATAAATGGATTCTAGATATAAAGCAAAGAACAATCAGACTGCAACCCACAGAACCAGGAAGGCTATATAGCAGGGGGGACCCTAGGATGACTATGGCTCATAATAAGTTTTGGTTTTACTCAATTACTGGGCAAGCCTCAATGAAAAATTTCACTATTAGGATAATAATTTATACTGTGTCAAGCTGATAATAGAAAAATAAACAATTGAAAAAAAAAGATATCACTCTCTTTGGGGACTGGAGAGATGGCTCTGAGGTTAAGAGCACTGGCTGCTCCTCCAGAGGATCTGAGTTCAATTCTCAGCAATCACATTGTGGCTCATAACTATCTATAATGAGATCTGGCTCCCTTTTCTGGCATGTAGGCATACATGTAGGCAGAACACTCTATATAATAAATAAATCTTTTTTTAAATTACATTCATGATATTCATTAATCACACTCATGATATTAATTACATTTGTGGTATTCATTGATTACATTCGCAGTATTCATTCAATAATATTTATGATATTGATTAATTACATTAATTGTATTGATTTATTGCATTCATGATATTATGTCCTGATACTACTGTCCATTTGTGGGGCTTTTCCATCACACAAAACAGAGATTTTGTACTTAGGAAATCATTGCTCTATATTCCTTTCTTCTCCATCTTGAAATAACATCTAATCTTTCTGTCTCTATTAATTTGTATATTCTATATATTTCATGTAATACAATTCTATAGTGTTTGTCCTTTTTTTTAAATGTGAAAATATTTTATGTACAACTACAGGAGAAATAATACACAGATAGCTTGGACATAAAACAGGTTATTAGGGCTGGAGAGATGACTCAGAGGTTAAGAGCACTGGCTGTTCTTGCAGAGGTCCTGAGTTCAATTCCCAGCACCCACATGGTGGCTCACAACCATCTGTAATGAGATCTGGTGCCCTCTTCTGGCCTGCAGTCATACATGCAGACAGAACACTGTATACATAATAAATAAATCTTAAAAAAAAAAACCAAAACAGGTTATTACCTGGGCGGTGGTGGCACACACCTTTAATCCCAGCACTTGGGAGGCAGAGCCAGGTGCAGAAGAAACCTGTCTTCATCTGTTCAGAGAGCTATGTTTTACTTAAGTTGTTTAAGTGAGATTCCTATTCATCTTCCCTTTCACTGTTTGATCTATAGCAGACATTTTTCTATAGGCTAATCCATAATCTAAAAAGATTTTAGCCTCCCCTCCTGTAAGTATATATAATAAATAAATCTTAAGAAAAAGATGTCCCTGTGAGCACCATTCACCAGGCCCCTGTCCTTTAAGGTTTGAATTCTTGCAACCTGAGGCTGTCCCCCAGAACCCACAGAAGTAGGAGAGAAACGACTCCACAAAGTTGCTCTGCGTCCCACCCATCCATGCACAGGTTGTACATAAATATGTGAGTGTTCATAATGAATAATCTAAGCATATGTATAAAGAACATTATGATTTGTCAATAATAGTTTGCATTTACACACACATTTCCATATAATTTTGTCTGTAAACAAGTGCTGAGGCTGGAGAGATGGCTCAGAGGTTAAGAGCACTGACTGCTCTTTCAGAGGTCCTGGGTTCAATTCCCGCATGGCAGCTCACAACTGTAACTCCAAGATCTGACACCCTCACACAGATATACATGCAGGAAAAACACCAATGCACATAAAAATAAAATTAAGTTATTTAAAAAAAGAATAAGCAAGTGCACTAGATGGTGGTGGTGCACGCCTTTAATCCCAGTATTCAGGAGGCAGAGGCAGGTGGATCTCTGAGTCTGAGGCCAGCCTGGTCTACAAAGTGAGTTCCAGGACCGTCAGCGGTGGCCCTGTGACCCCATGGCTGTTCTGGAGCATTCCAGTTTGCAGGCACTAGCCCAGGCATTCTTCCTGTCAGTCATTTTGTTGCTATCCGCTTGTCTGCTATGAGCACTGGGATGTGACTGTTGGTAGTGACAGTCCTTCAAGTTGAGTTGGGAATGACTCTGCTGTCCTCTGGTGTGGCTATTGCATGGTGACTAGCCTTTGTCCTTAGCTAAGTGGTTGCCTCAGCTGTCTATGTGAAGCCCCACACCCAGGGTCCATGGATAAAAACATAGTGGGGTCTTGCCTAGGGAGGGCATTATGTGTGCCTAGATGCTACGGTGGCCTCAATGAGAATGGACCCCAGTAGGCTCATGTTTAAATACTCAGTCCCCAGTTGGTGGTACCCAGACAATGGCTCTGTTGCTGCCGCTAAAGGTAGTTCTAACTAAATCTCTATCCTTCTGACAAAACTCAAGATTCCAAGGCTAGGGTGAAAACCTGCAAGCTCAGAGAATTAGAAGAGCAACTGGCTTACTTTCTCTCTTTGCTGGGGTCTCGAAAGCCACTTCCTTCCGCAATGCGCCCCCCCAAAAAAATCCACACTAAACTCCTCCCTGCTACTTCCTGTCAAATGTGGGAGGCCCAAAACAGCTTGACCACACAGATGCCATGACAGGCTTAGAGGCCCAGGCACAGCTTCTGTGACAGGTTTACTGGCAGGCAACATCTAGACCCAGGAGAAGCCGTAAGCAGACCCCAACCAGGGAAGGCCTGCATCTAAGGGGAAGAAGTACCTGACACCCCAAACATTCCAACCATTAGATAAGGTTAGATTAGGTGGCCAGGTGTCTCTGAGTCTAGCACACACCTACTTTTGTTCTACAGATACCCTAGACAAATGTCAGCCAATCAGGGTCCTGAACCCAGGAAATCCCCTCACCCCAATCTCTGCTATGATAAAAACTCTGCTCCACCTGAGCTCAGTGCT